CCACTTGCAGAGGCCTCATTCCCGCCATACTGCAGGTCGAGCACGCACTCTAGGGACCCACCAGTAGCTCAAACAGGCAGCTGCTGCTCCTTTGAGAGAGACAATTAGGAAGCTGTTTTTAGCTCCGTTTTAGAATCTTTTTTTCTCAGTTTTTAGGTGGAAACTCTTGCCACCACGTTGGACGCCATTTGTAGCTGGAGTTTTCCTGCCTGGCCCACAGTCAGGACAAATCTCTCTCACCTGCCAGTCCCACAGCCGCTCAAACCCGACCAAATAAACACAGAGACTTATATTGGTTACAAACTGTATGGCCATGGCAGGCTTCTTGCTAACTGTTCCTACAGCTTAAATTAATCCATTTCCATTAATCTATGCCTTGCCACGTGGCTCGTGGCTTACCGGCATCTTCACATGCTGTTTATCATCGTGGCAGCTGGCAGTGTCTCTCTGACTCAGCCTTCCACTTCCCAGCTTTATTCTCCTTCTTGTCCCGCCTACACTTCCTGCCTAGCCAATGGCCAATCAGTGTTTTATTTATTGACTAATTAGCAACACATTTGCCATACAGAACATCCCACAGCAGGTCTAGGGTTGGCAGTAGGTCCCTCCCTCCACTTATCCTTGTCACCCCACTCTCTCCTTCGGAACTAACTATGAGCAGGATTTTGTTGCTGAGTTCTTTCTTTTGGCAAGTTTTCTTGATTTTGCTATCTTTTAGCAAGATACAAAAATCTCGTTAGAAACTAGTGTTTTACCATCATGGTTACGATCCATTTTTCTTCCTTAAGGGCAATCTCTTACTGGCCTGGGACTCAGTTAAGGCCTCAGTGCAGGCATTCTGCCACCCCTCATGGCTAGACACACTCTTATGAATTAGAAAATTACGGGGCTGAAGAGCTGCATCAGTGGTTAAGGGCACCTGTTGCTCTTGCAGAGGACCCAGGTTCAACCACCAGCACCCACGTGACAGCTCACCACTATCTGTAACTGCATTTCCAGGGCATCAGATATGCCCTCTTCTGAACTCTTCAGGTACCAAGCAGGAACACGGCACACATACATATGAGCAGGAAAACACTAACACACATAATTATAAAATATGTATGAAAAGACATATACATACTTGAAAATTAACATAATGATACTGGCAATTGTCCTCTGGCCTTGACATGCAGATTGTAGTATGCAAGCATGCATTCACACCTGCTTGTGTACTCATAAATAAGCTGTTGGGATTGAAAGTGTAGCTGTTTGCCGGGTGGTGGTGGTGCACACCTTTAATCCCAGCACTTGGGAGGCAGAGGTAGGCAGATTTCTGTGAGTTTGAGGCCAGCCTGGGCTGCAGAGCAAGATCCAGGACAGCCAGGGCTACACAGAGAAAACATATCTTAAAAAAAAAAAAAAGGTGTAGCTGTTTGACAGTTCTTACTTAGCAGTCTCTGGGGTCTAGATTCCCCAGTACCCTAAAAACTAGAGACCTTAACAAAAGAGAGACACATGTCAGCAACAGCTCTAATTAGTCTTGCGAAGGACCTGGGTTTGGTTCTCAGCATTCACATCAGACTCAAAACTGTTTTTTCCAGGGCCTTCAGGCATATGTGGGCACTGCATTCACATGATGCATATAAACTCACGCAGCCTAACAATACACATAAATGAAAATAACTATAAATGCTGGGGTGGCTGAGGCAGGAGGACCACAAATTCAAAGATGGCATGGTCAACAGTGAAATACTGTTTCAAGATAAACATATACTCCTGGGCAGTGGTGTACACCTTTAATCCCAGCACTAGAGAGTTCGAGGCCAGCCTGGTCTGTGGAGTGAGATTCAGGACAGGAACCGAAACTACACCGAAACCATGTCTCGAAATAACAAAACAAAACAACATTGACACAACTCCAAAACAATGACTAAATCTTCCGTGCAGAAGTTACTAAAAATGAACCTTAGTTTAACAATTAGAGGCTGGAGAAATGGCTCAATGATTAAGAACCCTTACTGTTCTTGCAGAGGACAAGCATCAATTACCAGCACCTTGTTCCTAGCACCCACAAGGTACTTTATAACCATTAGTAACACCTGTTCTAGAGGATGTGACACCTTATTCTGGCTTCCTATGGAGGCACATGGAACACAGAGACAAGCAAAACACTAATACACATAAAATAAAAATCTAAAAAAAACCCATTTAATTACATTTATTATTTATGGTGGATAAATGGTGCTTGCTTCCAAGCCAGATGGCGTTCAATCGCTGGAATCCACATGGTAGGAGAAAACTGACTCCTCCAAGTTGTCCTCTGATCTCCACATGCACCATGGACCTGATGCACCTCGTCCCCAAATAAATATACACACAAAAACTGAATGAAAGAGGAGGTATAGTATTTCGGTTAATGTTTGCCGGTCAGTTTCTAGTACAACCCAGATGACAAATGTGAGGTTACTAACTGGGCTGCGTTCACTAAAAAAAACCACCCACTTTACTTACAGGCTGGGGAGGTGGCACTGTTGGGAGAGTGTTTGCCAGGAACGCACAAAGCTCATCCTAGAACCAAAGAAATTAAGAATGGTGGTACATGCCTCCGATCCTAGCACTTAGGAGTGGGTCTCAACCTTCCTGACGCCAGAATTCTTGGTTTGATACATCCTCAAGGAAGGCTATAATCTGTCCCAAGACAAAATCCTTAAACTGCAAACTGCCCTATCATTTTATAATTGACACACAGGGGAAATAGAAAATCCCAGAATCATAGAGCTGAACTACTGGTTCTCTGCTATTGTTTTACAAATAAAATGCCCTCCCCCTCCCCCCCAAGAGAGCTTCTGTTCCAGTTCTGATGGCCAAACTAGAGTGGGCAGCAGATAAAATACTGAGAAGTACAAACAGCAACAGATACACACCACCTGGAGAAAAGGAAACCAGTACTGCTTTTTGATAATTTTATTTTTTTCTAATTTTGTGATTTTAATTTCCCATAGCACCTTGGCAATGTTGAAAACAAATACAAATACAAAGATGTTCATTTTAACAGATTATGCATGAGTATGTGCCACACCATTTTTGGGAGGGGTGAGGAGATAGTTTTAACAGGGACAAGTCTAAGCTACAGACAAAACAGAAGCCAGATAACTGGTTCTGACACCTCACTCCCCCAACATTTAAGAGATGTCACTCAAGGGACACCTGAATCAGCTGAAAAAACAAAAATAGAACATCAATGTGGATGTCTCTTTACATTACTAATCAGTGTTCTGTGCTATAGAACTGAAAACACAATACTTGGCCCACAGCTCACAGACATCTGAGCCTCACCTTTAGGACTGTCTAATAAGACATAACAAATTGTTAGTTTAAAAATAAACATTAAGTTATTTAGTAATCAGGTCACTTTGAAAAGAGAATTCTAAACATCCTCATTCAGCTAATAAAAACTGAAATGTCCATGCATCTTGAAAGCCCAGACTAGCTACGTAGTATATGCCAAAGAGTCTAAAGTTAGATTAATACCCACCAAATTGTAAGGAAATATAAAAAATTAGAAAAAATTCATCATATATTATATTTATATATATTTACGTATTAAAAAAAACCCTCAAAAGGAATATACTGTTTGATTTTTATCTTTTCCATAAAAAGCCAGAATTGATACTCTTAAAATATGGTTAATATATATTGCCAACACAAACATCAGGAACTGAATCCCAGTGCTGTTCAACTGTGTCAAAGTAAAACCAGCAAACATTTAAGCCAAGAGACTGATTATTAAGGCCATACATAACTAACAAAACTAGAGAAAGTGCTCCTAACTCTTAAATAAGATTTTCTGGTTCTCTTTATCCTAAGGAAAGCTACTAACTTAATTCCAACCCTAGGTCTTTGCAAAGCAAAATCTGGTTATTTAAAAAGAAAAAGGAATGTGAAATATTGAAGCTACCTTAACTTTAGGAACTAAAAATAAATTAAAATTCTGCATATCATAGATTATATGCAAAATATGCAGGTAAGACAACAACAAACCCTTTATCATTGAAAGGTCTCATCTGTCTCCAAAATACGGCGGGGTAAAAATTTAGATGGATCTCTATTTTAAATGCCATTGACTATATTTGGCAAAATTGAGATTCCTCAGATTAGAGACAGACATCTGATATTATCAAGACAGAAGACAAGAAGGTTCTGCCATGCCCCTCTGCCTACCTTCTCTACGAAGCGCAAAGTGATGAACATGTGTGACTTTTGCTCTTTTCATAATGGACTATTGCAGCATACATTATCACTTTTGTCTACTTTTGGCCTTCAACAATGCAAGGAAATATTAAGTCATAGGGTGAAGAGGAAACTTTGATATTTAAACTTTCCTATCTAAAGAACCAATAAAAATAGCTGAAATGCAGTGAACACCAACCCAATTGGCTTGAATAGTAACGACGGGCAAGAGCCAGTTCCACACAACTTACAGGCATCATTTACACACAAACCCTCAATCTGCTGCAATAAAATAACTGTCAAATACACACTGTGAATATATATATGTTACATATTCATTCTCATTACACCCCAACCCCACATACACCCCCATCAAATGGGAACTATTTAGAAGTACTGAGGAAAATTACATCAAGAATCCTATGCTTAAAAAAAAAAATTCTATACTCAGTATGTGGAGAAAAAACAAGAACATACTTCTGGGTTTTTTTTGTTGTTGTTGTTGTTTGTTTTTGTTTTTTAAAGGAAAATTTTCTTGAATTTCAATCAGAACCTTTAGAAGTTGGGGGTATAGCTCAGTGCTGGACACGTATGGGGCCTGTGCAGGTCCTGGGTTCAAGTGCAGCACTGTAAAAAAGCAACCTGTAGCGTTTTAGAAGTTAACAGACTACCAGTAAATCACATAAGCTTACAAGAAATTGGAAACTACATCTGTGACACATTTAAACAAACAAAACAATTTTTTTTTCATTTTAAGTGCAAAAATAAAGTTTATCACCTTTACCAAGTGATTTTTGCAAAATGTTTATTCTATTAATCCACTGCATTCATAGGATGTTAACACTTTAAATGTTTATCATTTCTAAGTAAACGAGAATAAACACTTTTATCATAGATGTAGCTAACGATTATTAATACTTTTTAAAGGATCTAAAGTTCTCCCAAATTTTAGTACAGGTAGTTTTATTGTATGTTTCATCTAGTAGATGATTAAAAAAATAGTATATAGAAATAATCATTTCCAACTGAGCAAATATACCATGTTATCAACCCACCAAATCAAAAGCGCTTGTCAAGTTGAATAAGTTACAAAGAAATAATAATTCTGGTTACACGGATCGTGCAGTGTTTTCAAAGCTTTTAAGAATTACCCACTAACACAAATCTCTGACACTTAAGAGTTGGAAGGTAATTTTCACAGTTATGTAATTTTAACTTCCATTTACATTCATTTTAAATATATTACTACGATGTTTATGTCACAATGTTTGTTGCTTTCCAGTGTTCACAATTTACAGTTTCAATTTGTACAAACGAAACTCACTAATATAAGGGACAGTTCTTACTATTGTAAACTATCCCTAAGCAGAAAAATAAACCACCACCCTACATAGAACTATAAAAATGGTATGACTTAAAACGATTAATGCAACATGGTTTATCATTTTTGAGCTGTTTTCTAAATACCAGTATGTAAACTTGCCTATTTAATATATGACAGCTACAACTTTATTCACTGAGAAATTATGCATGTATTTTCTTCAACCATTTTTCTCACTTTATCTCAAAAATTCCCTGACTTGCTGTTTTTAGTCAGTAAATTCCAAACTGTATTTTTTGGGGGGATGGGGTCAGAAAGATGCCAAATATTGTAAAAAGAAAAATTCCCCCAAATTAATTCTTAAATTTTTTTCCTCTTTTACATTGCTTCATCTTTCATTTTTTCATCTTTTTTTTCATCTTTTTTTTTTGGAGACAGGGTCTCTCACTAGGTAGGCCTGCATGGACAGGATCTCACGAAAACCAGGCGGGCCAGGAACCCAGATGCACCTGCCTTTGCCTCGGAAGCTGGAATTGAAGATGTCTGCCACCACACCCAGAAGCACATTGTTTCATTTTTAATACCAATACAAATAAATTAATGGCAGGCCAGTACCATTCTGGGATCTAAAATTCTAACTTCTTTAATAGAAGAATAAAATCTTTCAATAATCCATTATAATATTTAGGGTAGTTATATGATTTGATTAAACTGGTCAAAGTAGTGAGAAACCACAATCCAGGAAACAGTTGGTTATTTTGCTTCTGGGGGTGAAAAGTCAAAGAACAGAGACAAATAAACAACTAAGAAAAAAAATTTGTCTCCCATTTTAAAGAGAAGTGAAGAAAAAAAAAAGTCACAGGGCAGTTTGAACCTCTGAAATCTATTTGACCTATCCAGTATTCAGGTCTAAAACAGAATTTTTCCATTTTTTTTTTTAATAATCTCTATTCTTTTCTTGAATATCAAACTGATTGGTAGTCACAGCTTCACACACAATCAGAGCTTAACAGCTAGCCCAATATAACACAATATTAGTAATGTCAAAAACTAAAGTCCAAACTACAAAAAATCTACTCAAGTATTACATTCAGTTTTCAAATCATTTACTAACATGACAACAGATTTGGCTTAAATCACGTTTGCACACACTCATACCCAGAACAGACACCCCAGCTACTGATCTGCTTTGCAACACAAGGCCATTTAGTCAAGAGATGGCATTCTTCAAGCCAAACTTTAAATAGATTAAAAAAAGTAATTTCTAATTTTTACAGAAATGTCAAAATTTCTTCAAAAAATATTTTCTCTCACTCCCTCGTCTCCTATACTGAAGGATGTATAATGTTTTTTTGTTTTCTCTCCCAAGCTAAATCTGAACCCTCAAAATTGATTCCAGGCAGAAAATCCCTGCAAATTAAAATCAAAAACAAAAATAGAAAATTATATTTATATATATGTGTATATATATATTTATATATATTTATACTGATTGGAATCCTCCAGCATTTGAAAAACGTTTAGAGATGAATTTTGGGCTCCTCTTACAATTCCAAAATCCATTATTTAAGGACATACTTCCCATCTTTCCTGGCTACTTCCTCCCTCCAGAACAGTTCAATATAGGCTCAAGTTTAATGGGAAGAGAGAAGTTTCTGAGTGATTTTTGTTACGGTTTGGTTTTACTTTGGTGATCTGGGTGGCACGAACTGCTCCTTCCCATTACGTCGAGTCATTCCCTGAGGTGTAGCCCTATGGCTAAACTGGCGTCTCTGTTCCCTGATTTTTCCAGCTGCTCCCCTGGGAATGGTATTGCCGCGGAAGCCAGAATGATCCTTACTAGCCCTTGTTTCTGGTTTCTCATGTGCTTTTTCAACAGGCTTCTCAGGAGCTCCGTTCTCTTCATTTCTGGTGGGAGACACGACATTGGATCCAAGTTCCCGTAGTGGCTGTACAGGAACTGGAGACGGCTCTTTAGGAGGCTTCTGACATACTTCAGCATAACTTAACTTTCGAGGTTCCTTTAAAAAGATACGAAAAACAATTATGGTGTCTATTTCTGGCTTTAACCAGAGGACAGTAATGTTACTGTCTAGGAAAGGGAAATATGTACTCTCGTGTACATTGCTATAGTGTACAGTTAATGCCTTTGGAATTTCTCTAAAACTTTTTACTTAAACTTAAAAAAACTTATCATTGTGTTTTTCTAGACAGAGTTTCTCTGTGTGACAGCCCTAGCTGTCCTGGAACTCTCTCTGTAGACCAGGCTGACCTTGAACTCAGAGACCCTCCGGCCTCTGCCTCCCAAGCCTGGGATTAAAGGTGTGCTCCACCACCACCCGGCCATCACCATTGTTTTTCTGTGTTCCTCCCCACAGTTCACATAAGGAGTTTAGATGTCTATGAATGAGCCAGTTCTCTTTTGTGCTCCAAGGATCAAGTTCAGGTTGCCAGGCCAGGCAGAGGTGGCGCACACCTCTCACTCAGGAGGCAGAGGCAGTTGGATCTTTTTGAGTTCAAGGCCAGTCTGGTCTATAGAGCAGGTTCCAGGACAGCCAGGACTACACAGAGAAACTTTATCTGTAATAAACAAAGCAATGTAAAGCAAAGCAAAATCAGGTTGTCAAGCTTGGTGACAAGCACCTTTATCTGCTGAACCATCTCACTAGCCCATTCACTTAATTATAATTACTGTCCGTTTGTGATGTGTGTGAACATGTGATCAGAGGACAGATTCTGAGAGTTGGATCTTTGCTTCCACCATGGGTTTGGGGGATCAAATTAGATCTGCAGGCTCTCCTCGCAAGATTATACCCACCAAACCATCTTGCCACATCTTGACCCAATAATTTTAGTTGAGGAACTTTGCAGAAGGGATACTTTTGTCAGCTTTATCTATATTGGTAAAAGCACCAGATATTGCCGGACAGTGGTGGCGCACGCCTTTAATCCCAGCACTCGGGAGGCAGAGGCACAGGCAGGCAGATCTCTGTGAGTTCGAGGCCGGCCTGGTCTACAAAGGGAGTTCCAGAAAAGGCACAAAGCTACACAGAGAAACTCTGTCTCGAAAAACCAAAAAAAAAAAAAAAAAAAAAAGCCAGATATGACCATGGCCTAAATCTCTAACATTTAAGGGCAGGTTAAATCGTGTGTGTGTGTGTGTGTGTGTGTGTGTGTGTGTGTGTGTGTGTGTTGTACTTGCCTGCATATCTGCTTGTGGAAGCCAGAGAAGAATGCTGAGTATGTTCCTCTACTGCACTTCACCTCATCTCTAGAGATAGCGTCTTGCACTGAACCTAGAAGTCATTGAGCCCAAGGTCCTCCAGCACTGAGGCTCTAAGTGTGTACCACTTCATCTAGCTTCTGTGGGGATGCTGGAGAACCTAAACTTAGAAAGCATTGGGCTATCTCCCCAGCCCCAAAAGATTAAATAATGATGAAATAAAATGATTCCACTGCTATTCAGAGGCCTGTGCCTGGGAAGTACCTGCCACAGCAGCTCCAACCACTCATCATCTGCTCCTCCCCATCTGGGGAGGTCAGCCCCTAGCTTACCATGTTGTAGCTTCCCAGCTCACCCATGCTCCCCTCACAGTTGCCAAAGTACATTATATTCATGTTTAAAATGTCATAATGAAACATATTATTTTACATATGCTAATAATTTATAAAACATGCTAATAAAAATAGTAAAATAAAACAAGAATATTAAGAAGGCTGATGTCTCTAACACCATCTTTAAAATTATAAATATACCATAACTCCCTAAGTAACTTCCTTTAACTGTAATATAGATAAGATAAAATAGTGACTTCAAACTTTTTTAAGGGGGAGGGGGCACAGAATCTCATTCTATAGCCCAGGCTAACATCAAATTCACTCTAGTTATGGCTAGCTTTGATTTCATTGTGCTCCTCCTGCCTTTAGAGTGATGAAATTTCAGTCATGCATTATTATGTCTGCCCTCCTTTTATTAGTAATACAGGCAGTCCACATTGGAATACTCCCAAATGACTCTGCTCTAGCAATGTGTTATGTGAAAAAGTAGTTTAAATTCTCTGTGTAACCTTGTCTGTCCTGAACTCCCTCTGTAGACCAGGTTGGCATCAAACTCACAGAGATCCTCCTACCTCTGCTTCCCAAGTGTTGGGATTAAAGGCGTGTACCACCACTGCCAGCCTGTTAAATTAGCTGGGCAGTGGTGGTGCACACCTCTAATCCCAGCACTCTGCAGGCAAAGGCAGCCGAATCTCTGAGTTCGAGGCCAGCCTGGTCTATAGAGTGAGTTCCAAGACAGCCAGGATTGTGTTATATAGAGAAACCCTTTCTCAAAAAAACCAAATAATAAATAAACAACAACAACAACAAAATAACGTGTGTGTGTGTGTGTGTGTGTGTGTGTGTGTGTGTGTGTGTGTGTACACATACATACATACATATAGATAAAATTTCTCTGTCTTGTGTGTGTGTAGATAAATATGTGCCATGGTGGGTCTATGGTGGTCAGAGGACAATTACACTTGTGGGAGTCGGTTGTCTTTTTCTACCAAGTGAGTCCCAGATGTTAAACCCAGGACAGCATGGCATCAGGCACATTTACTCACTAAGCCATCTTGCCAGATCTGAAAAATTAAGTTTTACCATCTACCCTATTGTATTTTTTTCTCATATAAACTACTCAGATTACCTGGAGACTCACAGCTGTGGGTGTGTTTAGGTTACTATTGCAAGGTGAAGCAGTGTCTGCCCTTGATGGCTTTGTAGTAGCTGGAGAAGAAACAGGTACAGTCATCTGACTGAGACCATCCTTTGGAACTGCAGAATCCTCCATCTGATCCTTCTCTTGCTGAGTTGTGCTAAAGAAAAGAGTTTGATATTAGGCTTAGTTTAACACACAGGAGCAGCTGAGCTACCGCTGAGAACCTCTGCAGGAAAGTGGGGATTCAGCTTCCTTGAGTGGTAACCCCAGGAAGGGGATCCAAACCCCAGTATCAGCTCTAACCCATGCCCATGTGAGCACCAGTACTGGACTCAGTGGGTTATGAAAAAGAAGAGTTAGGAAAGAGAAAAATAGGGGTAGATGTGATCAAATACATAAATGAGACCCTCAAAGAATACATACAAAATATATGAAAAGTCCCCATTTTTAATAAATAAGTCCCCTCTTACCTAAAATATCTAAATTTTTACTTATTTGTATTTGGTTTTCTGAAATAGGGTCTCACTATATAGCAGCCCTAGAAATCTTGGAATTCCCTATGTAGATAGGCTAGCCTCAAAACCACAAACTACCTGCCCCTGCCTCCCAAGTTTCGGGATTAAAGGTGTGTGCTACCACATCTGGTTTATTTATATGTATTTATTATGTATGTGTGTTTTGCCTGCATGTTTTTTACCACATGTGTGCCCACAGAGGTCAGAAAAGGGCATCAGATCCTCTTTGAACTAGAGTTACAGATGGTTGTGTGCTGGAAATTGAACTACAGTCCTCTGGAAGAGCAACAAGTGCTCTTAAATGCTGAGCCAATTACCCAGCAAAGGTTTACTGGGTTCTTTCACAAGAAAAGCAGGTGCTCTCAGCTTCTGAGCAACCTCACCAGCTCCACCTCCAACCTCTCGAGAGGGGTCTCCATGTGTGTAGTCAAGGCTGAACTCAAACTTGTAATCCTCTTTACTCAACATTCAAAGGGCTGAAATTACAGCTCTGTGCTACAAGCTGAAGAAAAAGTAGTGTAATATTGAAGTACTCTAATTGTGAAAAAGAAAAAAAGCACCTTAACGCAGGAGGCTCAGCAGTACAGGAAGGACCAGGACTTCTGCTGAGTTGCTGGGCAGAAGCACAGTCTGTCTGTTCATCCTCTGCAGGCACTGGGCAACTAACTCTCAAGTCTTCACTGTCCTAAAAGTCGAAAGAAGAGAGTTTTAAATTACATTTGAACATATTAATAAAGAAGATAAACAACTGTCCAACAACTACTGACAGTATGCCCAATTATCATTAAACCATGCTATGGAACAATCCTTTTCTACACTATGAATTCGTATTACTCTCATTGGTTAATAAAAAGCTGACAGGCTGCTGTGCAGGAAGTTAGGTGGAAAAACCCAACTGAGAATGATGGGAAGGACGGTGGAGTCAGGAGATACCAGTCAGGTGCAGAGGGAACAGGACATGAATGTGCCATGCTAACAAAGGTACCGCCAAGTGGCAGAGCATATGTAAGAAATATGTGTTTACTTAAAACGTAAGAGCTAGAGCCGGGAGGTGGTGGCACACACCTTTAATCAATCCCAGCTCTTGGGAGGCAGGGCCAGGCAGATCTCTTTGAGTTAGAGGCCAGCCTGGTCTATAGAGGGAGATCCAGTACAGGCACCAAAACTATACAGAGAAACCATGTCTCGAAAAACAAAACACAAAACAAAACAAACAAGCAAAAAAAAGGTAAGAGGCAGTTAGTAATAAGCCTAAGCCATTGGCTGAGCATTTATAATTAATAGTTTGTTTTACTGAGTGTTTCTTTGAGAGTGGCTGTGGAATACAGAAACTTCCATTTATACAACCAGCAATAAGACTGCTTTATACTGTAATAGAGATTCAGAAGCTGGGTGTGGTGATTCACACCCTTAATCCCAGCACTCAGGAGGCAGAAGCAGGAGGATCTTTGTGAATCTGAGGCTGGTCTAGTCTACAGACTGAGTTCCAGGACAGCCAGGGCTACACAGAGAGAAACAACAAACAGTTAAATAAATACAGTTATCATATGACTTTTCAACCAATTCTATTCCTGCCATCTAAAAGTAATAAAAAAAAATATGCCCAATGCAGCTGGAAAGATGGCTCAGAGGTTAAGAGTACTGGCTGCTCTTCCAGAGGACCTGAATATAATTGCCAGCACCCACATGGTGGCTCACACCTATCTGTAATGAGATCTGGTACCTCTTTTGGCATGGAGGAATACATGCAGACAGAACACTATATACATACAAAATAAATAAATCTTTAAAAAAATGTGCCCAAATAACAATGAAATTTATCTTACAGTTAAAAAAAAGTCTAGCCAGGCATTCTGCCCATACTTAGAACTACAGGAAATTTCATATAAATAATCACCATAGCATCATCTACATGAGCCAAAAAAGGAAACAACCCAATGCAAATCCAAGTAGTAAATGTATAAACATAACCAAGTAGTATTCAAAGAACACGACCCTTGAGGACACTCTGTTAAATAAAATAAGTTATTCTACAGAAAAGTAAACACTGCATTACTTCGTTTGAGATACCTACAGGAGTCAGCTCATAAAGACAGAAAGCAAAGGGCTGGTTGCTAGGGGGAATAGGGGAAACATGATTGCAAAGATGAGTTCTGGATAGCTGAGCACAATGGCTGACTCTAATCTCCAAACACTTGAGAGGCTAAGGCAAGATCACCACAAGTACAAGACTGTAAATAGATCCTAACACTTGAAAGAGAGATACAGGAAAATCAGGAATTGGCTATATGGTACATACTAAGGTTGAGGCTAACCTGGGCTGTATGATACTCAATCTCAATGAAACAGAATGGAAAATAACTGAAAACCATTAAAGCTGAAATGTCATTTGTAATAGATGTAACTGACAGAGGAATAGTATCCAGAACATATTAAAATAAAACACCCACAAATTTATATAAAAAAAGAATCTAATGAAAAAACTATGTCAAACACTGGAAACTTACTTAAATTTAAGTAAAGGAAGAAAGAAAGAGAAGAGAGCAAACCAAATCCAACCAAACCAACCAACTAAACAAACAAGTAGCCAGGCCCACAAGAACCACACACATTAAACAATATACTGTCTAAGGAATGACTGGCAAACTGAGTTGCAGAGACCAGTCTGAAACCTGTTTCCCTATGGCTCCTAAACAAAGAAAGGCTTGTAAGTTATTAAAGAAAGGGCTTTAAAAGCAAACAGTGTGCTTTAGGATGGCTCGGTTGGTAAGGTCCTTGAGGTCTAAGCATGAAGGAAAGAGTCTGATCAGTAGCACACTCATCAACAGCTGAGTGTGGTGGCTTGTGTCTGTATAATCCCGGCATTGGGAAGGTGGAGACAGGGACATTCCTGGGGCTCATGGCCAGGCAGCTCAGTCTAACAAACAAGCTCCAGTTCAATAGAGGCCATCTCAAAAATAAGGTAGACCACATTCGGTGAGAAATGATCTCTGGCACATGCATATGTGCAAACAAATACACTCAACCACATACAAACACACTGTACCATCCCCTACCCCACCTCCTAAATATACAAATTAGAAAACAAGACAAAATATGTGGCAGAATCTGGCCCACAGGCCTTAAATATTTATTACCTGGCTCCTTAAAGAAAGTCTTTGTCAACTCAGGGGTAAAAGGAAAGCAAGAAAACTATCACTCCCCAACCAAAATAATGCTTTTCTGTAAGAAGACCGAGTAAGAAGAGCAGATAAAGAGGGATACACATGTTCCTGCTATACTGAGGATTTTTACAACCCACAATTGGAGAATGGGATTCTGGGAGAAACATACATTATTATGGTCCTTTCAAAGTGTTTATACATGCCAACTGTGATTGCAAAGGCCTGCAATCATAGAGTAGGGACAGCTTGTAGTAGATGGCTATTTATGTGTCTCTTTAACCATAATAGGTTCTAATTTGAAAACAGTCTAATTTGATTGTAAAATAAAAAAGGATATACTTCTTCAGAACTGCTGAAATAGCTAGTGTTTTCATATCTACACTTATAAATGTGTGTGTACACAATACTTGAGACAGGGTTTCTCTATGTATTCCTGGCTTTCCTCCTGTAATTCAGAGAGCCACCTGAGTGCTGGGATTCAAGGCGTGTGCCACCACTGCCTGGCCCAATATATTACTACAGCCTCCCCCTTTCTTACCACTGTTGAATATTTCCCCTCTTGGGCCCCATTTTTCTTATACTCTCTTTCCATTTTTCCTTTCCTAATTACTTTCATCCCTTCCCTCCTGACCATTGTATCGCTCTACCATCCACCATCCCTCCTCTTTTTTATCTTTAAAAAGATAAAATTTGAAAGGAAGGGGAAATTTATATTTAAGGTTTGTAATCCCAGCACCCAGGAGAGTGGGGAGAAGGATCACTGTTCCAGGTCAGCTGGCTCTACACAGCAAGTTTCAGGTCATCTCTGTTAGTCAGGCAGTCAGGGCACAGTGGGTAAAGTAATTACCACGCAGGACTGACACCCTAAATCTGAATCCTCAGAACCCACACAAAAGCTGGCTGCAGTATGTGCACACGAATGAATCACAGTGGAGAGGAGATGGACAGAAGGAAAACTGCAGTAGTGAACAAGAGAGACCTTCTCAAACAAGGTGGAAGGAGAAGCCTGCCACCCAACCTTGTTGTCTAGTGTGCGCTCTCCCGTTCGCTTGCATTCGGGGGCTCTCTCTCTCTCTCTCGCTCTCTCTCTCTCTCTCGCTCGCTCTCTCTCTCTCACACACACACACACACATTCAGGAGTAGCATGTATATATGTGTACTTAAAAGTCCAAAAGCCAAGGTTTTAAGAGTAGAAAGTAACCTGTGATGAAGGGAAGTCCTATCAGCCATGCATGTAGAAGGCACTGGCTGTACAAAAACCAACCAAACAACAAAACTGTCCCCACCACCACCAAAGAGACTAACCACAGTATACAACAAGTCTCAAACCCCTGAGAAGCAGCATATAAATCATGGCATATTCTAGTCTACCTGGCAATCCCCTTCACTTGGTGTATCTTATCACCAATGACAACCCTATATATAGCAATGTGAATTTGACATAATAAAAGGAGGGGGAAAAAAATCTGATGTTAAATGTAGTTTCAGGTATTGCTGTTCTGCATTATAAGATACATTATGTCTATGTATTATTATAATTAAAACAAAATTAGGGCTAGGGAGGCGCCTCAGTGGGTAAAACTGCTCAATGCACAAGGCTGGCATTGAACCTCACTGGAACACACAGTGGAAGGAGAGAACTGACTTCTAAAAGCTGTCCTCTGACCTCCATATATGTGCTCTCTCCCACACACCTATACATACATAAACAAACCTAAAAGAGAAAAACTTAAGGTAGAAAACAAGAAAAATTTATGAGACCTGTGATTCCACACATGAAGTGAGGCCCACGCGCCTACAATGCCAACCCCAGCACTAGGACAGCAGGGGCAGGAGAACAGAAAATTTAAGGCCAGTCTGGGATATGCAGCAAGACTCCGCCCAAAGCAGATGAGTACACTGGTTGGCATCTACTTAGAAAGACCGACTTGACCAAGTTAGCTCAGGATTCTTTACATCACTAGTTAAGTACAGGCCCTTTGTGGAAATGACACCTCTTCTCCATTCAGCTAAGCTACCAGACTGAGCTGACGGACACAAGGGCCAAGGAACACTTTCTTGACTTTTTGGAGTTTTATTATACACCTTTTTTTTGGTTTTTCGAGACAGGGTTTCTCTGTGTAGCTTTGCGCCTTTCCTGGAACTCACTTGGTAGCCCAGGCTGGCCTTGAACTCACAGAGATCCGCCTGGCTCTGCCTCCCGAGTGCTGGGATTAAAGGCGTGCGCCACCACCGCCCGGCTATTATACACCTTTTTAAAGCTCTTGAAAAATGGTGAAAACTAACTGAAATTAACTAATTCGAAATGCAAACTAAAGAAACTAATTGAAATGCAAATATGAATTTAAACAATCATCCTGACAAACTTAACATATAACCCCACAAATGGAAAGAACAGTGCTTACCTTTTCTTTGCAGACACCTTTAACAATATCAGACATTCTATTCTCCAAAACAAGTTCATCTGGCATTCTTGACGAACTTCCAGGTAAAGGAGGAAAATTTGTAGCTAATAAGTCAAACTTTGGTGTTGGAGCCTTCGCTTCAGGTGTTGAAGGCTGGGGTCTCTAAAAAAACAAACCATTAAACAAGTCACGTGCCTAATGCTTTCTCTGACCCTCTACTCCAGAAGCTTTAAGAAAAACAAAAGACTTGTAAAGGACACAGAATTACCTCCTTATAAATTCCTGGTTCCCCACCTCAGTCTTAGCTGCCTCTTCTGTTTTCTTTTTCTTTTTTTGATTTTTGAGGCCTCAAACTCCCAGAGATCTACCAGCCCCTACCTCCAGAGTGTTGGGATTAACAGCTGGTGTCACCACCGCCCGGCCACACCAATGCTCTTCATTTCCTTCAAGCCAACTTGTAGCCTTTGATGCTGTCATTTTTAATGTATTATATCCAAATCCATTCATCCATTGACAAGACCATGCTATGTATCCCGGGCTGGCCTGAAGCTTGTACCCTTCTGTTTAATCCTCTTGAGTGCTGAGATTACGGGTATCCTTCGTTCGGCTGCCTTGTTTTCTCTCCTCAACCGTTGATGGCTACTTGAGGATTCACAAGAATTGCTACAACTGACATGCTAAAAATGTTGTCAGGGCTTGTGGTGGTTTAAATAGGAATGGCTCTCACAGACTGGTGGCCCATAGGGACTGGCATTATTGGGAGGTGTGGCCTTGCCAGAGGAAGTATGTCACTATTGGGGGTGGGCTCTGAGGTTTCATATGATTAAGCTACACCCAGTGTGGGAACACAGTTCCCTCTGTTGCCTGTGGATCAGGATGTAGAATTATCAGCTCCTTCCCCAGCACCATGTCTGCCCGCATGTCACTATGTCCTGCCCATGATGAAATAGACTAAACACTGAAACTATAAGCTAGTCTCAATTAAATGTTTTTCTTTATAAGATTTGCTGTGGTCATAGTGTCTCTTCACAGCAACAGAAACCCTAAGACAAGGGCTAAAGCTTTATGACTGCCCATAAAAAGTAAAGTCATAAATAAAACAATTGAGCACAATTCCTGACTAAGCATACATGAAGCTTGGATTTGCTCCTTAGCAAGTTAAAAATAATGTGATCCAACACCTGGGAGGCAAGAGATCAGAGACTTGGACTTTGATCCTTGAACTCCTGATCCTTCTGCTTCTACCTCCGAAGTACTAGGACCATAGGCCTGTACTACCATGCTTGGCTTATATAAATAAAGATTTCCTTTTCTTTCTCTCTCTCCCCCACACTCCTTTCTTTTGAGACAGGGTTTCTCTGTCTAGTCCTGGCTGTCCTGAACTCACTCTGTAGATCAGGCTGTCCTTGAACTCAGAGATCCACCTGCCCCTGCCTCCCAAGTGCTAAGATTAAAGGTGTGTGCCACCACTGACTGGCCGGATTTTCTTAATCTATATTTTTTAAAAATTCCCACCTGAAAGGATCTGTGATGGTTAGTTTTGTCTGAAGATTTGTTTTATGTGTGAATGTCTATCTGCATGTATGTCTGTGAACTACATGTCTGATGCCTGTGGAACTCAGAAAAGGGTGTTGAATTCACTGGAACTGGGTTACGGACAGTTGTGAATTACCACATAGGTGCTGGAAACTGAACCAAAGCTCTCTGGATGAACAGTAAGTGCTCTTAACCACCAGGTGACCTCTCGAGCCTGTTCATCTTTGTTCTTTTTTGAGACAGGGTCTCACTTTGCAGCTCTAGCTGGCCTGGAACTCTCAAGAGATCCACCTGCATCTGCCTCTGCCATGTGAGCTATGTGTGCCTCTATGCCTGGCCATTAATTTTAAATGTCAACTTCACATAACCTAGTCACCTGCAAGAGACTCTCAATGAGAATCTGACTCCATCAGGTTGCTTGAAGAGATGTGGAAGAATTCACCTGAGATGTGGACAAGACCAAAGGAATGGAAAGAGAAGAACCTTTCCATTACTTGGACTTCACCCACCTTGTTGACACTGCTGTTTCTGCTATTAGAATCAACTTCTTTGGGCCTCTAATTGGAACTGAAGCCAAAGAGGTCTCCAGGAACCCTCGAAGCTCAATGCCAGATCTGGACTGCTGAGGCTCTCAGTCTCACAGACTCAACAACTACTAGGTTTTTGGTCTCTCTGTTGCAGGACAGCCATGACTGGACTCTAACCATACTGTATAAGTGCATCTAATAGACTCCCCTTTAATACGTTTCTTTAGAGAACTCTGACTAGTACAGTTTTCCTTTAACTATGCCTAGACATGGAGAATGATCACTACACACGAGGTTATGCCTTGGATCTAAAATGTCCCCATAATACCATGTGTTTTAATACCTAGCTCAGTTGACAGTACTATCTGGTTGTGGGGACTGACTGCCTGAAGCAGATTATTTGAAGGTGAACCTTTGAAGGTTATAGCCAAATTTTACTACTTTTTTAACTTTGGCTTGCTAGAACTTGCCTCGTAGCCCAAGCTGGCCTTGAAACTGAAGATCCACCTGCCTCTGGCTTTTGAGTCCTTTTAAAAATTATTATTATTACTATTATTTATTTGTTTTATTTTATTTTTGTTTTTTGAGACAGGGTTTCTCTGTGTAGCTTTGGAGCCTGTCCTGGAACTTGCTCTGTAGATCAGGCTGGCCTGAATTCACAGAGATCCACCTGGCTTGGCCTCCTGAGTGCTGGGAAGAAAGGTGTGTGCCACCACCGCCCGGGCCTTAAATTATTTTTATAATTTCTTGTGTATGGGTGTTTTGGTTATATGTATGTCTGTGTACCACATGTGTGCTTGATGAACCCACGGAGGCCAGAAGAAGGCGTTAGATCCTGTGGCCCTAGAGTTGCAGACAGCTGTGAGATAAAGTGTGGATGCTAGAAGCCAAATCAGGCCCGGCAAAGAGTAGCAAATGCACTTCACTGCTGGGCCATGTCCCCAGCCCCCAGCTCTACTTCTAGTTCTGTGCCCTTAGCTTCCTGGTGTGCCAAGCCGTGAGGAGCCATGGCCTCCTGCTCCCTCTGCTACGGAGCCACTTCAACTTCCCTGTCTTCCCTACTATATGCCCTAAAAACTACAAACCAAAATATGCCTTTCCACCTATAAACTGCTTCTGTCCAGTATCTGGTCACAGTAAAATTAATTAAGGAGGTTATCACTGCATTACTGATACCAGTGCTGTTTATGAGCAATAGACAGGTGTACCAGGCTTTCTTAATGTAGCAGGCTTTCTTGGACCACTGGCCCCCAAATCATGACATGGAGGCTTATTTTTAGTTATGAACGCTTGGCCTTATGTTAGCCCTACTAGCTTACAACTTAAAGGCCTTTCTTTCATTCTGTATATCCTAATTTTCCTGCTGCTCCTGTCTGGCTGGTGGCTGCCTGGCTCAGGATGTCTCCCTCTCTTTCCTCTTGAGCCTAGATTCCTCCTCCTACTTATTCTCTCTTCACGCCAGCCCTGCCTATCCCTCTACTGCCTAGCTATTGGCCATTCAGCGTTTTATTAGACCAATCAGGTACCTCACAGGTAGGCAATGCAACACATCTTTACATAGTTAACGGACGGAGCTGGGCATGGCACTGTCCACCTATAATCCTAGTATTTGGGAAGCTGAGGCAGTAGGACTGAGTTGGAAGCCAATATGGGCTATAAAGTGAGGCACTGCCTAAACACAAAGATCAAGTGACAATAATGTAATAAACCTTCAAATTGAATTACCTCTCCTGCCCCACAACCATGGCTGGACTAGAACTTACTCTGTACACTAGGCTGGCGCGAAGTGCCTGTTTCTGGGAGCTGAAACTAAAGGGAAACACCACGCCTTTAACTGAATATGCTAGATATAAAATATTAGCAATACAACCTCAAACAGCTAATTAGCACTAGAGAGTGAATGTATAAATGACTTTCAGATCAATATCAGGCTCAATTATTTTTGTTTGAATAATTAACAAAATAAAACCAGAAAGGAAAGACAGACCAAAGGAAAAAGAATTCTAAAGATACAAAGATGAAAACACTTACTGGGATCCTGTCATCTTCTCTCCGTCTTCGACCTCTGAAAAGCGTTCTCCTTTGAACAAGAGAAGAAGAACCCAGGTCAAATTCTTGAACATATGCACTTATTTCCTATAAAAGACTCTACTTAAAGTATTGACATGTTCAAAATTGGTGCTATTCCTCCATTGTTACTAAGTAGTGAAGTAAATTCTTTTGAAGAGATCTTGAGCTAATCCACAAAAAAGTTCACTAACTACTACGACCACAAAGTTAGCTGGACCCACTTCTATTAGCAATACATTTTCCACACAAGAAGCATTTTAAAGTCTAATTTAGCCAGAGTAGACAAAACAGAACTCCACTCTCACAGTTGAGAAGGAAGGAGAAAGTCAAAGGAGAAGGCAGAGTCAGACATGGGAGAAGCACACCTCCAATCCTCTTAGAAGGCAGAGGCAGTTGAGTCTCTGAGAGTTCTGAGGCCAGCCTAGTTTCTACATTGCAAGTTCCAGGCCAAGCAGGGGTAAAAACAAAACAAGCCCCCCTCCAAAGACCTCCCACTGACTCAGAGGTGAAAGTCTAACTCAGTGGTGGTGCTTAAATGAGATGTTTGACAACATTTGTTCAAAAGCCTAGCATTGCCAAACGCTCATTTCAAAACTAAAACTGTCTTCCCAAGTCCTATTAATTAATTTATAAGAACAATGAATTCATTTAAGATATTCACACTGCAATAATTAATAAAGAACAAAAATCATCAGATGGTTTTCAACATTAAAGATGAACATGTTATTTATTTATTTATTAAGATTTATTTATTTATTATGTATACAGAAGAGGGCACCAGATCTCATTATAGATGGTTGCAAGCCATCATGTGGGTGCTGGGAATTGAACTCAGGATCTCTGGAAGAACAGTCAGTGCTTTTAACCTCTGAGCCATCTCTCAAGCCCAAGATGAACATGTTATGACTAAATAATTTTTATATATACAACAATTCCTTACCTGCCTCTACCAAAGTCCCCATTCTGTTCCATCTGTAAAATGGGAGCCTCCTTTGGAAGGTAAGTTTGTTCTTGATTCCCTGTTACTGTAGGGTTATGCCGTTCTGAGAGAAAGTTCCTTGAACTAGATCTGCTCAATGGTCCATCCCCCAACGACACAGAGCCCTCTGTTGAGTGTTCTGAACCACTGGATGACCTAAACTGAGGCTTCACACTAGAAAAGATATACAAAGGGTAAGTCAAGAAAACGTTACATCTCTGATGCAATATTTTTAAGAAAAGGTAAAGGAATTTGCACATTATGTAATGTGTTTGACAAAATTTGGGGAAAAAATCTGAAGTTCTAGATAAAGCTACTTCTACCTCAACATCAACATCAGTCAGTACCAAGTCTGGTGGGGCACATCTTTAATCTCAGCACTAAGGCCAACCTGGTGTACATAGGAAATTCCAGGACAGACAGTCAGGGCTACAACAGAGAAACTGTCTCAAGCAATAGAAACAAAGCCACAGTTAGGATTTTACTGTTACCAAAAACAAAACAAAAAAACCCCACCAAAGACACCAGGCTTTACATTTACTAATAAAGCTGTACCAGGTATCTGAGTAAGGGTGAAACCACCAATGGTAGTTAAAAAACAAAAACAACCCCACATATTCTTGTATGAGGTGACCAAAAACACTGTATTTGTTTTTATCTATTTATAATCACACACATGGGAAAATTCTGTTTATTAAGATTAGAGGAAAATACTGAATTCCAGAAAAGACAGGGCTACAAAGACCTTATCTCTAAACAAACAAAACAACTAAAAAAGGGCAGTGGTGGTGTATGCATTTAATTCCAGCACTCAAAAGGCAGAAGCAGGTGGATCTCTGTGAGTTCAAGGCCAGCCTTGCCTACAAATAGAGTTCCAGGACAGTGAGAGCTACATAGTGAGACCCTGCCCCAGAAAAATAAATAGACAAACAAACATTAAAAACAAAACCTAAGTAACAGAGAGAGGACCTTGGTTCTATAGCAAATTAAAAAGGAAGTATGAGATTTATAATTGGTGCACTGTTTGCGGTCTAAATGCCCCATTTCTTACAACCTGTTTCTAAAGATATCAATTGATCCTATCAATAACATGTTATTTCTTGGCTTTCTGAACAGATTTAAAACACCACAAATAATTAGAACATATAAAGGTATAATTCGAATCACTTTTCCAACCAAACCAAAAATCACAACTCTCCCCCACAAGCCTCATACTTTATGGACAAAGCCTTAATTTACTCCCCAGACACGATGGAAAGCAAGGTTAAAATTTTTGCAAGTCAGTCTAAAATGATGCTACCAAAAATATTTCATTAAGTTTGAGGGCAGCCTGGTCTACAGAGCTAGGTAGTTCCAGGTCAGCCAGGGCTACACGGAGAAACCTTGTTTCGGAAATCCAAAAACCAAAAAAAAAAAAAAAAAATTTTTTCGTTATAAAATATTTTAAAAGTAACGAAAATTACAGTATATTCTTTAATAGAACTTTTAGAATAGTTACCTATTTTTTTCTGAAAATAAGGTAAATTACAATGTTCACATGGAGTTTGGAAACTATCATTCACCAAAATTCACCATGCATTGTACAGGTCTACTACACAAGTTTATTAACTTTAAAGAGCCCTCAGGTCTCATCATCTTACCTCTCACTGAGAGGGACTTAACATTCACAGTCCAGGCACCAAAAGGGTGGAGGATGAAAAAAGGAGAGAAAGGACAGTAGAAAACTGTCTATCCCATGGCAAGTTAGTTCATTCTCACTAGGTAGGACTTGTCATCATTGGGCTATCAAAAGTTGAAAGAAATGCTGCAAAAAGGTACGAACTGGACGTGGAGTGTATGCCTGTAAACCAAGCATTTGAGAGGTGGATGCAAGAGTCTAAAGGACATTCTTGACCACATTACATGTTTCTGAGCTAGATACTATGTCTGAAAAAACAAAACCAACAAATAGAAGCCATACCAACAAAACTCAAACATATACATAAAAACAAAACAACCAAGTTGAGCAGAACAAAAAGTAATGGGTAGTGTATGGCTTTAACCCTACTACTCAGGAGGGAGAAGCCAGCCTGGGGTAGGAGAGCCATGTAGAAAAACTCTCTGACACACACATACACACTCTCTTTCTCCCCACCCCTCCCTTTCCCTTTCTTCAGGGGAAAGAGCAAAACAAATACAGTCTGTTTTGAGACCGAGTCTCAAAACAACAATAATACAATAAAACAAAAACCATATACAAACCTAAAGGGACAGGAGCCTTTATCTGAAAAAGGCCTGGCTGACCATCACTTCTTAGAAGCAAGAAACAAGGATTGGGCTGGTAGTGAAAAGCTAGTATCTCAGCATCTAAGTAAGAAGGTACTCCTATTATTTCTGTAGGAGATGGCTAAGCAGGTGAACATTTGACCTTGGGAACCCGTACAAAGCTGTATGGGTGGCATATGTAATCCTAACACACCTTTGCAGACATGGGAAGCAGATGAGAGGCCTGCCCAGAGACTCAAGGGCCAGCGAGACTGGATGTGTACAGTGGTACAAAGACGTGGAGGTAGAAACTGACTTTTCAAAGTTGTCCTCTGACCCCCACATGCAATGCACACATGAACACAAGAACACACAAAAGAACTGTACATACATGGTTGCATGCATCATGTGCACACTTTTATTGTGCTGGAGATTAAAATCCAGGGCCTTAATAAAGCGAGGGGAGAGAGTACTACCATTAAGCCACATGCCGCACCCTGTGGGTTTGGTTTTATTTGTTTTGTCATTTTTATTATTTTAAGTGTATGGATGTTTTGGCTACATGTATGTCAGTGGAGATCAGAAGAGGGAGGTACTCTCCAAAACTGGAGTCATGGATGGCTGTGAGCCATGGAGGTGCTAGGAATCAAACCAGGGTCCACCGGAAGAACAGCCAGTGGTACTCTCAAGGGCTAAGCAATCACTCCAGCCTCTTCAGCCCCATACTTTTAAGACAAACATTTGCAAAAATCAGTACTCTTCCTTAAAAAAATTTGTGTGTGTTGGGAAGAAACTCCATTGGTTAAGTGCTTGCTTTAGAAGCATGAGTGCCTAAATTCATTCCCCAGAACTCATATTAAAAAAATAAACTGGGAATCAGGCGGTGGTGGTGCACACCTTTAATCCCAGCACTTGGGAGGCAGAGGCAGGTGACCAGTTGGAGACCAGCCTGGAATACATAGCGAGTTCCAGGATAGCCAGGACTACAAAGAGAAATCCTGTCTGGAAAAATGAAAAAATAAAAATAATAAAATAAACTGGGGATGGAGAGATGGCTAGAGAATCCACATGATGGTTTACAACCATTTGCAACTCCAGTTCCAGGGGACACACGGGCTTCCTCTAGGCTACAAGGGCAATGGAAATCGAAGTGGTAGAGATATACATGTAGGCAAAACACCCACATACAAGACAAAATACATTAAAAGACAAAACGGAAACCATTGAAATCCTGACCCTTTATAGCTATTATTCATTCTGATCTTGAAGAATCCTAGACTGAATAATTCATGAACTTTGTATAGTAAACAAAAACACTTATATTGAGTCTCCAACAAGAACATGGGAATTCCTCGGGAATTTCTGGGAATTGTTTAAAATAAATTTGGCTCTTATTTCCTATCTTACCGATTTTTTTGGAATGGTCGGGCCATATTCACAGCAGCAGCATTTGTTTTATAAGATCCCGGTGAACTAAAGCCATTCACAAAACTACCATTTGGAAAAGGAGCCTAGAAGAAAACATGAATATTTAATGGTAAGGATGTAATACTGCAAGAGATGGTTTTTGAGAAACCCAGGTGAGCTATCTTAATATCAGTTTCTTCAATAGTCAAAAAAAGAAAACTCGCCGGGCGGTGGTGGCGCACGCCTTTAATCCCAGCACTCGGGAGGCAGAGCCAGGTGGATCTCTGTGAGTTCGAGGCCAGCCTGGGCTACCAAGTGAGTTCCAGGAAAGGCACAAAGCTACACAGAGAAACCCTGTCTCGAAAAACCAAAAAAAAAAAAAAAAAAAGAAAGAAGAAGAAAACTCTATACTTACTCATTTCTGCAACATTCCCACCACACATCATTTTATTATAAATGACATGTCACTAATTCATTACATGCGAACCACTCTTTCAGGACAAAATGGGTCATGCAGAATCACAAAGAAGCTGGGCATGGTGGTACACACCTTAAGTCCCAGCACTCTAGAGGCAGGTGGATCTTATCTTTCTGAGTTCATGGTCAGCCTGATTTACACAGAGTTCCAGGGCAGCCAGGGCTACATGGTAAGACCTCCAATCAATCAATTAGTAAAATGGAAAGAATCAAACTGTAGAAACTAACAGCTCAGCTCTTAGTAATAAGGGTAAATGGATGAGGAACTATCATAGTTTACCCACAAGGTAACCAACACAAAACTAACCAACTAGATTAGATTGTTGTTTTTTTGGTGATTTTTGTGACAACCGGCTGGTCTGTAACTTGCTATGCAGACTAGTCTGGCCTCTTGCAATGAGCCTTCTAACGCTACCTTGTGAGTGCTCCAATTACAGGCAAATGCATCTGCACCTGGTTTTCAGATGATTTCTTTACATTTTAGCTTGAACTAAATGTTTTATTATTTTCTAAAAGTCTCACTTACCAGTGGTGTTTCAAAGTAAGGTGCAGGACTTGGAGACCAAGACGGAGGCACAATACTATACACTGAGTACTGCTGGTGAGGGTTATACACTGGCGGCATAAAGACTGGTGAGGGGTATTGGGTTGGAGTCTGAATGGGTTGAGTATACATACTAGAATCCATTAATCGATAACCATTCTTAGCAAAAAATGTATTAATGGCTTTTATCCTTGCCTAGAAGAAAACAAAAATAAAAGATGAAGTGTGTATTACAACAAATATATTCAACATATTTTTTACATGTATTATGATTTATTTCTGCTTAGAATCAATAGAGCAAAGAAAAACAATAGCTTGTGGACTTGAGAAGAGCCACAATAAACAAGGTTAAAAATAAGTGAACATGGCCTCACTCAATGGCTAAAAGTGAGTCTACTGTCGGGCAGTGGTGGTGCACGCCTTTTATCCCAGGACTCAGGAGGCAGAGGCAGGCAGATCTCTGTGAGTTGGCCAGCATGGGCTACAGAGTGAGATCCAGGACAGGCTCCAAAGCTGCACAGAGAAACCCTGTCTCGAAAAAACCAAACCAAACCAAAAAGTGAGCCCGCTACTCTTCCAGAGGATTGTCTAGCTCTGCAAAGGGAAAATGTTACCATCTGTATCAACACGAACCTGGAGGGCATTAGGTTATAGGAAACAGTGAAGAACAAAAAGGTTCCCCTGGCCTTTGCTGGCACCTGCACTCACATGTACATGCTCACATGCAGAAATATACACAGATGCATAATTAAAATAAAAAAATAAGTCCTAAAATAAATTTTAATTTAAAAACTGGTATCCCATTGATTTCAAAATTGCTTTGTTTGGTTCTTTGTTGGCACCAGATAAACATGAATCTACACAATAAAATCATAAAAAGATGAAAAACAATCACGTATGGAAAAAAGGACACTGAAGCTGTCATAATGAAGACAGCAGTAGTGGTTCAGGGAAGAAAAGACTGAAGAAATAGATCAAAGATCCCAAGAAACATCTCTAAAGATATGTGACAGGTTCAGTCAACAAGTAAAAGTAGACAACTGTCCAAATTAACAACAACAAAAAAAGCAACCCCCCCCCCCCAGAGATAGCTCAGTGGTTAAGAACATGTATTGTTCTCAGAAGACCCCAGCTTACAACTGCATGTAACTCCCAACTCCAGGGGATACCTCTGATCTCAGGCATATGCATATATATAGACATAAACATATATACACATAAATAATAATGAAAATATAATAAATTAATAAAATGTTAAAAACTGTAATTAGGTTTTATTCTACAATATACACCAAATTAATGAAATTTTATTGAGGATCAAAATATAAATATAAAGGCTTCAAGTCATTAAGAGACACAAAACAGCCGGGCGGTGGTGGCGCACGCCTTTAATCCCAGCACTCGGGAGGCAGAGCCAGGAGGATCTCTGTGAGTTCGAGGCCAGCCTGGTCTACCAAGTGAGTTCCAGGAGAGGCGCAAAGCTACACAGAGAAACCCTGTCTCGAAAAACCAAAAAAAAAAAAAAAAAAGAGAGAGACACAAAACAGTATCTCTGTATCCTCAAAGGGGAACAGTGATTAAAAAAGAGAGTCAAAGATCAAAGGTAGAAGGATTATCAAAGGAAACTCATTTGTAATAGGTAAATTCATTATCATCAACCCCACACAGGTCAGATTTAAATGTCACTTCATACAGTAGTGTCTTGTGGTATTTCTCTGAAGTGCAAGTTAGACATGTGACACTAGAGTGGCTATTGTCATTCTCTTCAGTAGTCAAGGTGGAGAAAGCCTGTCTCAGTAAGGGGTCCTTACATATGTACAAGGCTTGCCCTGAACTATGCAGCTCAAACTAGCCCCAAACAACCAATTTCCTTGTCTCACTTTGTTTGGAAGGATGAGTTAATATATGTACAGTGCTTAAAACCGAGTAAGAGAACAAGAAAGGGAGTTAGGAAATCAGTGCTTATGAGGCCACACCAACTGTTCAAATCTAAACTATGGCAATAATGATGGAAAGAATTATGAAGGCAAATTTTATGGAATTTGAGAACAGAGTTAACATGTAAAGACACTGAGTAAGTATTATTAATGACAATTCCTTCTCAAATGGATGTAACTGTGGTAACATAGTTAATTGAGACAAGGCTGAAAGAACTGGAAATGATTTTCATCACTATTAAGAAATTATACTTATTCATTTTGAGATCTAGAATTATAGGATATGAATTAGCATAAAAACTTTGTGATTCTGTTTAAAAAAAAAAATTCTGTAGCCAGAGTATTTTCGTGTTTTCTGTCAACTAATTTTCTAAAGAACATAGAAATATTTTTAAAATTACTATAGGTTTTATAAAACATCTTTCATGTATTCTTAATTCTTTTAAACGAAGCATGACAAAAACCTAAAACAATCACCCTCCTCCCAAAACCCCTTATTTCATACTAGCAGCTAATGTATTTGAAATGTTTCTTACCATGATTGGCTTGCCCTGAAATGTTTTAACTTCTTCTCTTAAATATTTAAAAGCCTGTTAAAAGAAAAATGAATATTATTAGCATTTAAACATTTCATTAAAGCCACTTTCCTTCTACCAAATGAGTTTGCTATTCTCAGTTCCTAAACTAAAAAGAAGGTCTTGCCATGTGCTGGTACACACTTGTAACCCCAGCACTCAGGAGCTACACAGGAGAGGGCTTTGTTGTGACCTCAGCTAGCCGTGGACACAGCAAGGCAAAAACAAAAACAAACCCTGAGGTAATGAGAAGAAAAAGCAAGAAAACAACACATTCCTAGTTATAGCTTGTAGGTAATACAAGAAGTTGGTATGGAGTTGTAACAAAAGGCAGAACACAAGAGACTCAAGTGTCATCAGGTAACAACTTCTAATTTTACTCAGCTGGGAGTAATGGCTCTGACACAGAACTATTGGGAGAGAGAGGCCAGCCTGGTCAAACCCACAGGTTCCAGGGCAGCCTTGTTCACACAGTGAGCACCTGGCTCAAAACAAAATACACACAACTACCACCACCAAAAGCCCTGGACAACCCAGTTTCAAAACAAAACAAAAAAACTGAATTTGATTTCCACATCTGTTAAGTCCAGTTCCAGGATAGCCAAGGCTACACAGTGAAATCTTGTCTTGAAACACCAAAGCCAAAATAATAATAACAACAACAACAACAAAAAAGAAATCTGTTAAAATTATATGCAGATGATAAAAAAGAAAGTCAATTGTCAATTAAGCAAATGTATGGCCAGTCCTGGTAAACATAAAATGACATAGTCTCAATCGGTAACCTAGGCTGACCTTAAACTCATGACATTTTTGGTCCTCCTCCTTCATTATCAAGTGCTGTGATAACAGGCATGCACCATCACCCCCACGTCTACTTTATTTTTTCTTTTTAAAGTTTTTGATACAGGATCTCACTTATGTAGTCCATGTTGGTCCTGAACTCCTGATCTTGCCTGTCTCTACCTCCCAAGTTTTGAGATTATACAAGAAAACTACCGTATCCGGCGTTCTCTTGTGGTACTGACCACTTAACCTGGGACCTTAGGTATCCCAGACACACCCCATCCTAGCACATCCTCCTCACTCCAACAGCAAACCTCTTTTCCCAGTAAGAAAGAAGCCCTCCTCTCACCTGCTGTGCATCTGTGTCTGACTGGAAAGTGATGTACCAGTTGCTGTTGTGTGCAAATTCACAGCTTATCACTTTGGGGCAGTTTTCACTTTTAAACAAAGCTTTCACTTCCTAAAACAGAAAAAGTAGAGTCAACTCTTAAAACGAAAACACCTGCAGTTATGGTGTAAAATTTACACATAACAAACATTATTTTATGAGCAACAAAGCAGAAGTACTTCAGTTCTAATGGCAAGCTAATTTTCCTTATAGTGCTCTCTCCAGGCCTTTTCCTCCCCAACTGAGAGAAAAAGGCTTCCTGTTTGTTTAAGACAGGTCTCTGTGTAACCCTGGTTGTCCTGGAACTAGCTGTGTAGACCAAGCTGGTCTAGAACTCGAAGAAATCCGCCTGTGTCTGCCTAACCCTGGTAGAAATTATTAAGGAAATGTGTGTACGTCTCTGTATTTTTAGGAGGGTCTGATTCTGCAATATACTGTTTTATTTTATTCCCAAACCTGAACCACACTTGATCCTTATGACTGTAGTTGTTTTACACTTTGCTAACTGATCATTATTCGAATTTTTTCTTCATCTACTCTTATTAGATGAATTCTCCTATACATTCAAAATTAGTACTATTACCGCAATATTTAATGTTTTTTCTCCTTTATGCAATTCTAATACTTGAGAATTAACAAAGTTAACAGTAACTGATATGAGGGTATTGATTTCTACTCTTGCTTGCCTACTTCCTCCAATATAAACAGTTAAAGGATATTTAGTTTTAATAATAATTAGTGATTACCTCTACTGGTGTTGTTTCAGGAATTTCTCTGAGAATTACGATACAACGTTTATGACTCGGTCTCACTTTCTCGCCCTTCTCATCAACTTGTACCATAGGGGAAGCTGAAATTTAAAAAACAACATGTCTCACTTAAATGGTATTAATGATGCCATTATAAACCATTTGGTTTGCCGGGCGGTGGTGGCACACACCTTTAATCCCACCACTTGGGAGGCAGAGCCAGGTGGATCTCTGTGAGTTTGAGGCCAGCCTGGTCTACAGAGTGAGATCCAGGACAGGCACCAAAACTACACAGAGAAACTCTCAAAAAACCAAAAAACAAACAAACAAACAAAAACAAAACAAAAACCAAAAAAACCATTCAGTTCAATTTCTATCCAAATAAATTGTCAAATGCTAAGGTAAAATGTCAAAAATTACTGTCATGCTAAAAAAGAAAAAGATTTGTATGCAAAGTCGATTACCAAATATTATTTGCTAATTAAGTATCTGGAGCACCTACACTGTGATGAAATGTGCTGAAAAGAACCCTCCAGAGAACAAAAAGCATTTACTGTTATGACTTCAACGTATCCTCCTTTATCCTAGTGATGAGGATAAAGCCCAGGATTCACCCCAACATATCCACTCTTACATAAATCACCACAAAGGCCAAAAAGCACATATACAGGAAGGGATAGACTGAGGGAGGTACAAGTTCATTATCTAACTTCAGGAGTATTTGTCAAACTATACTATAGGTCACAACTCATTAGCAGGTTTTGAAATCAAATTAAAACAAATGAGGACATTCTTAATAATACTTGCTGTATGTACAAGATTAAAAAGCAAATTGTACACACTAACACATACACACACTAAAAGGCCACTTAAAACAATTCCCTGTATGATTAGAAATAACAATTGTTAATTTTTATAACTACAAAAAAGTTAAAAGTCATTTACATACATCTCAACACCTCAAGAATTAAATCCAGATCTGTGGTCAGTTTTTTTATTTCTTCCATGTTGGCAACTGTCCATATTGGGACGAACTGATCACTATCCATTTGAGATATCAAGTAAAGATCCTTCGATAAATTTTCTCTGAAAGAAATAAACAGAAGCAATTATAATATGCAATTCTTAAAAAGCACCTAAAACAGGCCAAGCAGTGGTGGTGCAAGCCTTTAATGCCAGCACTTGGAAGGCAGAGGCAGGTGAATCTCTGTGAGTTTGAGGTCAGCCTGGTCTTCAGAGCGAGATCCAGGACAGGCTCCAAAAGCTACACAGAGAAACCCTGTCTGGAAAAAGAAAACAAAACAAAACAAAAAAACAGTACCACATTCATGTTTATCACTATTCCTGGAGAATTCAAAGTAGTAGAGATACTAAGATGAATTATGAAAAGTTCCAGTTTTATCAGCTCAATTTAAAACATACCAACATAATAATACATCAGTAACAACTTCAATAGGATTTGAATCCCAAAGTATATGGAAAAAATAGTTTAACCATAAATTGAGTCATAGATGATATTCAGTATATAAACATTTTTATGTTTTTTCATAAAGATGCTTGACTATTGTAACTAGAAAGGTATTTAAAATTAAAACTGAAGATTTAAGGGACTCTGCTCAGAGCTGGCATTACAGATGTGTACTCCTAAGGCCTGTTCAAAATCTTGTCTGTTTTGTTTGCATCCAATAGTCTTTAAAGCAGATTAAATAAGAATATCTGTGCTTGGAGGTGGTGAGATATGCCTTTAATCAGGTGAACCTCTGAGTTCCAGGCCAGCCTGGTCTACAGAGCCAGGACTGCCAGGGCTACAGAGAGAAACCATTTGGAAACAAACAACCTCCGCTCCCCAAACTCAAACCAAACCAAAAACCCAAACAAACAAAAAAACCCTTACTCTAGATTCTCCTTTCTTTTATGCTGTTCTATTTTAATTTTTTAACTCATAGCAATCATCACCTGTTTATTTATTATGTTTATTTTTTTATGTTTTGCAGTTAGATTATGGGTTCATGAAAGATCTTCATGACTCAATAATGCATTAAAAATCTTATGGGAGCTGGAGAGTAGGGACAGGAGTTTAAAAGAACTGAATGATTTTCCAGAAGATTCAGGTTTGATTCCTAGCACTCACATGGCAGCTCATAGCCACCTGCTAACTTCAGTTCCAGGGGATTTGATGCCCTCTTCTGGGCACTGCTACTGTTAATGATATATAGACGTATCGGCAGGCAAAACACCCATACACATATTTATGATATTAATGGAGTACTACTCAGCAGAGAAAAACAATGACAGCATGAAATTTGCAGGCAAATGGATGGAACTAGAAAAAAATCATCCTGAGTGAGGTAACCCAAACACACAAGGACAAACATGGTTATGTACTCACTCATAAGTGGATTCTAGATATAAAGCAAAGAAAAATCAGACTGCAACCCACAGAACCATGGAGGCTATATATATAGCATGGGAGACCCTAGGATGACTGTGGCTTATAATAAGTTTTGGTTTTACTCAATTACTGAGCAAGCCTCAATGAAACATTTCACTATTAAGATAAAAATTTATACTATATCAAGATGATAATAGAAAAATTAATTAATTAAAAATAAAAATACAAAATAAAAGAAAAATTTGAACTATTAAAAAAACCCAAACAAACATATTTTGCTAAAGTAAAATGGGGGAACTAGGGGCTCATCATTCCTCTCCACATTCTATTCTTTCCCTTGTTTTATACATTTTAAATTTCTTTTTTTTTTTTTTTTTTTTTTTGGTTTTTCCGAGACAAGGTTTCTCTTTGTAATTTTGTGCATTTCCTGGATCTCGCTCAGTAGACCAGGCTGGCCTCGAACTCACAGAAATCCGCCTGGCTCTGCCTCCCGAGTGCTGGGATTAAAGGCATGCGCCACCACCGCCCGGCCATATTTTAAATTTTTTATTGGTGGATTCTGCTGGAGTATCCACTGTAGATAAGCACTGGAGGGTTCCTGTTGCAAATCACCCTCTGGAGCGATGGAAGGATCTTTCTACTGGCACTTGGAGGAGACTCGATCTGGTATTGGTGTGGGCCCGGGGTTCTGTTTATGTCTTTCCTCAGGACAATGAGGTTCCTCTTTGGATTCCTGAGCACTGTGTGCACACTGTGGCTGCAGCTGAAACCCAACACGGCAGAGACCTATTGGGCCTTTATGAAAAACTATCCCCTTCTGATGCCAATGAGGATTGAGAGCCCAATATGGCCAGCTTTGGCAAGCATTAACGTAAGCCAAGGAACTGTAGCCATGCGGTTGGATTCTCCAGAAGGTAATGTATGGTAACTCCTTTTTCAAGTATGTTTGAGAACGTGTCACCCAGACACCTTGGAGATTAAGGATAACCCTGAAGGTCACTAACCTCCATTTGTTAACAGTAGCATGCCAGCTAAGCCTTTTAATTTTCACAATCCTCAAGCTGGTGTAGTACCTACTTTTCAGGAGTGGCTCTGTGCAACATTTATTGGCCTCCTGAAATTCATTTAGCCCCCTTTGAAGATAGCCTAAAATTTATGAGCCTGAAATGTAGCCATTATGAGACCATTAGTTCTGCTCCTTGTGAGCTGCCTGTTTTTCCTTTATGGTTCTTAGTTGTTCTTTTGTAGAACTGCCAGCTTAAGTCGTGCTGGGATCAAGAAAAATGGGCCTTGGCGGTTCTTGTTCCTGGAGCTGTATCCATGCCAGAGAATTTGACATTGCTGCTGCTGTTGTTGCTGTTATGGCAGTGGCGGCCACCGCTGCTACTGTTTCTGGGATTACCATTTCATAATTGGATACTACAGCTAGCACAGTGGAAACCCTGTCAGCAAAAGTAGCTACCACAGTTAGTTAATCTTTCATTCTATTGGGCATGATAAATTTAATTCAATAGTTATATACATTTCAACTGGCTTTGAAAATTATAAATTTATAAACTCAAGATCCATTTGCTTTTAGGATACCATCTTACAAGGACTCCAATTTACAGTAAGGCTCGTAAAGGAAGGGAATGGCTCAGTTGCCTTTAGCCTATCGGCTACGGGTGGGTTAGGACTTTGAACACACAGATTGCAAGCCCAGCACCACTTTGAAATCTTTGGCAGCAGTTAACTCTGCAGCTCACACATGATTGAGCCTGTATGATAATGAGTATTCAGAGACGGGTAATGCCTGGGGGTTGCTCACCAACCTAAGACACTCTGAGTGCCTGTGTGGCCTGGGCAGGTGTCTCCATGATGGGTAAGGTGAGACCTACTGACGTCCCAAGCAACCTAAGTCAGAAGCTCATTTATTAGTAAAAGGGGGACCTGTAGGGCCCTGTTTTTGGGTAACTGTTGCCTTGCTTGCTGACCTTGACTTTGATATCCTCCCTATGCTAATTCCCTACTGGGTTCCACCCCCCTAAATGCTTAAAGGAAGTTCCTTGTCTGTGTATCCTGCATAATGGGCGTTAACAGCTTAGATGCAAGATTGTAAAACATCGGTAGTGAACTTCTGCCCTCTGGGGTTCTCCCATTATGCTGTAAGCCTGTATTTAAAACCTCCTCCCTCTTTCAATAAACGGCATTCGGCATTAAAAAAATTTAAAAAAATGAAAAATAAATAAATAAATATATCAAAAACTTTCTTATGGGCAGAGTAAGCTCAAAGATCTTTAAATTAAAATTCAACAAAGCGCCAGGCAGCAGTGGTGAAAGGTTTTAATCCCAGCACTCGGGAGGCAGAGCCAGGTGGATCTCTGTGAGTTTGAGGCCAGCCTGGTCTACAGAATGAGATCCAGAACAGCAACCAGAACTACACAGAGAAACCCTGTCTCGAAAAACCAAAAATAAAAAAATAAATAAATAAACAAAATTTTAAAAATAAAATAAATCAACTAAGATAGTTATCACGGCAGTTATTTGTTGAGGGAAGGGTAATAGAAGATACCAGTAAGATATAACAGTAAGAAGATACCTTTTCATCATAAAAGGACAAATTAATACAAGTGCAATAAATGTAATAAAAGTTATTATTTAATAACTTGAAAATCAGAAACCTGTAAACATGGTTTCTGCATAAGTAAAACACTGTGGTGTAAGCCAACCCTGACTTGCAGCAGCCCCATTCTTAACCAGTAGTATCAAAGTGCTTAGCCAAAGAAATTATAATTGTCAAAAGTAAATCAAATTGATATCACATCTAAAGACTTCCCACTTACAAGTAAAACTGGTATATACTACTGGCAATGTAGCTGAGCTACAAATGGTATTAGCTACACTGGCTGATAGTGTATCATAGATCTAAGTATGATGCGGTAGATCACAAACAAACACTTATTTCAAAAACTAAAAAGCTGTATAAATTACAAAAACCTACTTCTGGAGACATGAAAGCGAGCTACGGAAGCTTCAAGAACAAAATTACCGAAGTACCAGGAATATTTTTCCTTCTAGAACACATCTGTGTAGAGTGGTTCAGAATAGGTCACGTTACCGGGCAACGGAGAAACAGAGACGCAGATTTGAACAGTTGTGTGTAGACATGTGGTATGAATATTAGGCAAAGGACTGGTACTAGTAGTTAAAAAGCCACAGGTATCTGTAACACATAGTCCATTTTTTAAGCATTTCCTAAGATTTTAAGGAAGAAGATAGGAAACTATGAGCTGGACTGAAAAGTCAACACATAACCAACATTTATAAAAAGTACAATAAAGTACAAAAATTAACCGGGCATTGGACACACCCTTGCAATTCCAGCAACGGGAAGTTGAATTAGAATTACAAATTCAAGTCCAGTTGATATAATTGGGCTACGTAATTGAAGTTTGTCTTAAAAAGAGGCAGCAGCAAGAAATGGATAGAGGGGCTGGAAAGATGGCTCAGGGTTAAGAGGACTTGCTGCTCTTATGGAGGACCAAGGTTCAGTTTCCAGCACCCACAACACGGCAGCTCACAACTGTCTTTAACTCCAGTTCCAAGAGATCCAATGCCTTCTTCTTGCCTCTGAGGGCACTGTACATAAGTGATGCACTTACACACGTACAGACAAACAGTCACCTACAGAAAGAGAACCAAGGGCTGAACACAATTTTAATAATCCCAGCACTCGGGAGGCAGAAGCAGGTGTATCTCTGTGAGTTTGATCTAAACAGTGAGTTCTAGGCTACAGCTAGATCTACATAGTACAACTCTGTTTAAAAATAAATAAAAAAGAAAAAGCAGGGTGTGGGTGGGTGTTGTGGGACAGGGGGGCAAGATGACCCAAATGACAACAGAAGCAGTTCCAGAAGTGATAAGCCAGTATGTGAGAACCCTAATTATTCAAGTACTTTATGGAAAATGAATTAGCCCACACCTAATTCCAGCACCAGGAATGAGGAGGAGGAAGGACTGGTGGGAATTCAAGAGCAGGCCGAGCTCACAGTGAATTCCAGGCCAGCCTTGGCCACAGAGTAAGGTCTTGCTGTTGTTAAAAAATAAAGAAATTAAAATCTAATTACATCAGCTTGTTGTGACAGTGCATGCTTATAATTCCAAAATTCCTAGGGTGGCTGAGGAGGGAGATCATGAGGGCTGCTAGGGTTGCCTAAGTCTGACTCAAAAATAAAATAACAAACATCAGTAAAAAAAAGGAAGAAGTGTGTTTCCTTGTGGATGTCAAATTACTGGATGCAGAAAAATTGGTGGAATTAGTGCTGGGATAGGCTGAGTGCTCGGCTAGCACTCCTGAGGCCCTGGGTTTAATCCTTGGCACCACTAAAGAAAAAGAGGTGTAGGTGGGGACAAGAGAATTAGAAAACCACAAAATAGCCATTTGGTAACCATCAAAAACCAAATTATTCATTTGAGAACCAGGGCTGAGGAGAACAGCTCAGTAGTAGCACAGCACTGAAGTGGTCTAGCATGTGAGAGGCTCCAGGTTAAAGATGGAGTGTGAGGTAGGGATGGATCTGCCTGGAGTGATAGTGCATGTCTTTAAACCTAGCACTAAGGGGGCAGAGGCAGGCAGATCTCTACAAATTCTAGGAAAGCTGGAACTACAAAGTGAGAACCTGGCTCACAGAATCAAAATTTTAAAAAAAAAGCAGAGAACATGAAATAAAATCTATGCTTCTGAGCCAGGCATGGCTGGGCACACCTTTAATCCCAGTACTCAGGAGACAGAGGCAGACTGAGTTCCAGGCAGCCAGGGCTACACAGAGAAACCCTGTCTTGAACACCCCCTGACCCCCCACCCAAATCGCTGCTTCTGGCCTAGAAAATGGAAAACACTACATTTGCATGTATGTCCAAATGTTCAATTTTTTTTCTTATAGCTTTTGTTTTACTTCGTTTGAGACAGGGTTTCTTTCACTTTGTGCCTCTGGCTATCCTGGAAGTCTATGCAGATGAGGCCAGCCTCACCTCAAAGACTCACCAGCCTCTGCCCCCTGAGTGCTGGGACTAATAGTGTATGTCATAATGTCCAGCTGTAAATTGTTTTAGATGCTGAAATTTTAACATTTTCTTTTTAAAAATAATTTATTAATTCTTATTTTTATGTGCATTGGTGTTTTGCCTGCATATATGCTGTGTGAGGACGTCAGATCTTGGAATCACAGACAGTTGTGAGCTGCCATGTGGGTGCTGGGAATTGAACCCGGGTCCTCTGGAAAGGCAGTCAGTGTTCTTAACCACTGAGCCATCTCTCCAGCCCATATACTGAAATTTTATGGTATCTAAGCAACAATAAATATTTCTACAGAATTCTCACCTGTAAATAAGCCATTTTGTTTAAAAGAAAACAATACTATTATTGATTCTCTGCCTATCTCTTTAGGGTCTTGCTAAAATTACTCTGTTCAAAACGTAAATTGAAGGGGTTGGGGATTTAGTTTAGTGGAAAAGCACTTGCCTAGCAAGCGCAAGGTCCTGGGTTTGGTCCTCAGTTCTGGAAAATAAAATAAAATAATAAAAACTTAAACTGAGATATTTTCTCTTCTTTTATTCTACTAGTTTTTAAAAGTTACTTTCATTTAGTGCTTTTGGAAAACTCAAGTCGAAACATGATCCTAGGAAAAGTATGCAATAGACACTGTCACTATCTGCTGGGAAAAGATAAATCGCACTAAAGTCTATACTTTTAAGTCTAGTTATGAAACAGACTCAAGAATGATAGCAAAATCTATGACTAAAGGAAATGATAACTGCCTATTCCACAGGCAATTTATATCTACTCATTAAAAACACAAAGAAGAATATCAATTAAAAAGATCTGTACCGTGAAAAACAGAACTCTAATTGCTTTTTCAGACATTCTTTTAAGTCTTCTGTAGAAATTGTTGAACTGCTTTCTCCTGATGGCAGAAAACAAGAGGGAGAAAACTGTTGGTTATCAAAGGTGAAACTTACACAATATATATATGTATATATATATTCAGAAGTTACAGAGTAACCACCAATTAAATGTACCACAAAACTGTATTTTTAAATTAAGTCTAATTTCTTTCAACTTACACTTTTTTCAGCAATACTTCATATTGACTGAAGAATTATTTTATTGAGCTGGGGCTGAACTCCAAAATACAGTGATAAGATTATTCACCTAGCACATGTGTGGCAATGGATTCAATATGCAGTGTCACATACATATTTCATACATGTAAGGGCTGGGAAATGCTCAGTCAGTAAAGTGCTTGCCACACAAGAATGACCCCAAGTTCAATTCCCAGAAGGAACACTAAAAAGCCAGATGTGATGACACCATAGTGTACACTTGTAATTCTAGTAGTACCAGGGAGGTGAAATCATGAGATCCCTGGGGCTCTCTAGCCAGCCAGCATAACCTAATAGGTGAGCCCTAAGCCAATGAGACTCTGTCTCAAAACCAAAATTCGCGCACACGCGCACGCACTTCACTAAGAAATAACAAAGGACTATTAATACTAAGCATTTGACTACACTATGTTGTTAAACATTGCCCTGATGTGATTGTAAAATTTTGAGAGGCAGGCAGATCTCTGAGTTTGAGGCCAGCCTGGTCTACAAAGTGAGTTCCAAGACAGCCAGTCAACACAGAGACCCTGTTTCAAAATAAAAAACAAAATAAAAAAAGTGAAAAGCACCCAGTTCTTCAATGGAAACTCAAAAGAAACAAAAAAAGCAGCCCAAACATAATGAGTGGTGATCTAAATTTGAAGACAAGAATGAAAGTGGGCTATATTGGATTTATGTAACTGTATCTATTTTACTAGCAATAGATCCAGTGTGAGTCTCGCTCTTTTTATACCTTTTTTCTTCATTTCTTGATTTTTGTTTGGTTGATTGGTGTTGACTTTTTTGAGACAGCATTTCATGTTAAACTTCAAACTCACTATGTGGGCAAGCATGACCTTGAACTCCTAACTTTTCTGCCTCTACTGTCAAGTGCTGAGATTATATTGTACAGGGGTTGGCCTCACTATGTATCCCAGGCAGGCTTTAAAACACGTGGAAGCTTCCCCACCTCCCTAGAGTTTATGGGCTCTCAGAGTGTCCGTTCCATGTGTGTGGAGGCCAGAAGTGCATGTCTGGTGTCCTCTATCATTCTCCACCTTAGTCTGAGACAAGATCTCTCACTGCACCTGCTATGGTGGCTGGCTAGGAAGTGACCAGGATCTGCCCGGCCCTGTTAACTAGTACTGTCTAACATGGGGTTAGACTCAAACCCACCATGCTTAGCTTGTACATGGGCGCTGGGAATTGGGACCTGGGTCCTCCAGTAAGTCCTTCACACACTGAGCACTTCCTCTGCTCCCTAAAAATGACTAGTTGCTAAACTTAAACATATAGTGATAAATTAACTTTATCAGTAGCGAAGGTTTTCCATTCTAAGTACATACAATATTTTCTTTCTTCTTCCTTTTTTTTTCCCCTTTTGTTTTGAGGCAGGGTTTCTCTGTGTAGCCCTGGCTGTCCTAGAACTTGCTTTGTAAACCAGGCTGGCCTTGAACTCACAGAGATCCTCCCGCCTCTGCCTCCCAAGTGGTGGGATTAAAGGTGTGTGCCACCACCGCCCAGCTAGTATATGCAATCTTTAAACATTGTTTTTTCACTTTATTATTTTATGTATATGAGTGTTTTGTCTACATGTATGCCTTTGCATCACATTTGACCCTGCTGTTGGAGGTCAGAAGGGGACATCAGCTCCCCTAGAACTGGAGTTATGGTTTGTGAGCCTCCATATGGGTGCTAGGAACCAAACCCAGGTCCCCTGGAAGAGTGCTATTAACTAGTGAACCATCCCTCTCAGGCCCTGTGGAATACTGTTTTTAAAAAAATTATAGAGGGGTGTGGTGGCACAGGCCTTTAATCCCAGCACTCAGGAGGCAGAGGCAGGTGGATCTCTGTGAGTTCAAGGCCTTTGAACTCACATTGTCTACAAAGCAAGTTCCAGGACAGCCAAGGCTACAGAGAAACCCTGTCTGGAAAAAAAAAAAACAAAAAACTAGCAAACAAACAAAAAACTATTGTGGGATGGAGAGGTTAACTTAGCAGTTAAAAAGAGTGTGAGCTCCTTTTGCAGAAGATCCAAATTTAGTTACTGGCACCCAAGTTGGGAGCCTCACAACCACGTGTAACTCAAATTCCAGGGAGATGCAACCCTATGGCCTTCACAGGCACACATATACACACACACACACACACACACACACATTATTAAAGAAAAAATGTGTGTGTGTGTGAGAGAGAGAAAATGTGTGTAGGCATGCATGTGGCAACCAAAGGACAACTTTGTAGGGTGGGCTCTTTTCATCTACCTGTATGTGGGTTCTAGAAATTGAACTTCACTTTTATATGGAAGTCACCTATCCAAATGCTAGCTAAATGAACAACCAATTTACTTCACTTCCAATGTCATTTACAGGAAGCTCATTCAAATAAACGAGCTGCACTACATCATTTACCAAGTCTATATTCAAAGTAGCCAATTGTTATCTGTAATATGACCATAGATTGAAAGGAGACATCACTTCATTTTTTTGTTAATTTATTCCTAAAAATTAATTAATTAAATTAATTATGCCCGTGAACCACATATGCATGCCTGGTGCCAGCAGAGGCAAGAGAGCACTGGATCCTCTGGAACTATAGTTCGAGACTGCAGTGCCTCATAGGTGTTGAGAGTTGAACTCAGAGCAACCAGTGCTCTTAACCACTCAGCCAGCCATCTCTCCAGTCTGTGGACTCATCCCTTCATATAGGAATACCAACCCCACATACCTCACAAATTACCTTATAAGTCAAAAGACTTTTCAGAAATCTAGCCTGGGGCTGAGAGATGCTCCCTGGGTAGGAGCCAGCATAAGGCACTGAACTCAGATTCTAAGCACCCAAGTAAAAAGCTAAGCATGGCTGCCTGTGCCTAAAACCTCAGTATACATGGGCACACTCGTGGATGCATGCTCACACCACGTACACACAAACAAGTCTAAGTATTTAAAAGGTAATTGAAGCCAGGAACGGTAGTGAACATCTTTAATTCCTTCAGTACTTTGGAGGAAGGCATATCTGAGTTTGAAGCCAGCAAGTTCTGAGCCAGCCAAGGCTACATACATAAGAAGACATGGCTTCACGAGGAAGAGGAATAATTGAAGACAATTATTTATAGATCTTGTTCTAAGTCACAGGGCTACTTGAGGCAGAAAGAGATATGCCTACTCCATATTACAATTAGTTTTCCAAAAGACCCTTTGGAAAAATAAAGTTAGACAGTCACAATCTATGGTTCACTTCAGCTCCCTTTAAATTTCCTCCATTTTTTTTTTTCCAGACAGGGTTTCTCTGTGTAGCTTTGCGCCTTTCCTGGAACTCGCTTTGGAGACGAGACCAGGCTGGCCTCGAACTCATAGAGATACGCCTGCCTCTGCCTCCCAAGTGCTGGGATTAAAAGTGTGCGCCACCCCCCCCACCCCCCCCCACCCCCGGCATTTCCTCCATTTTTATGGCTAGAGAGATGGTTCAGCAGTTAAGAGCATGCACTGCACGTACCAAGGAAGAAACCATGATTGGGTCCCAGCACCTATGTTGGGTGGTTCACAACTAACAGTAATTCCAGCTCCAGTGGTGGCCTTTGGGGGCTTGTGAACATACACAGACATATTTTTTGAAAAATGAAAAATACATCTAAAATGTTTTTCAACCACTTTAAATCATATTGACTACTATTCCATATTGGTTGGATCAATGTGGGGGAAAAAAAGATGCAAACAGAATCACAGAAGTCTGTGGTTAATGTTAAAAAGGGACTCCTTTTTTTGCCCAAGCTAGCCTCAAACTCTTAATCCAGTTGTCTCTGCCTCCCAAGTGCATGGATTAGGAGTGAGTGTTGCCCCTGCCCACCTGATATATCCCCCTGACCCCTGACAGGATTTCTCTGTGCAGCCCTGGTTGTCCTGGAACTTGCCCTGTAGACCAGGCTGGCCTCAAACTCAGAGATGTGCCTGCTTCTGCCTCTCAAGTGTTAGGATTAAAGGTATGCACCTCCACTGCCTGACTTAATATAATATTTTTTCCTTAAAATTAATCTCTGAAATAAATATTTAAAATAAATTTCATGCTGACAAAGTGGTTGAAAAAACGGATAAAACTGCAATGATCTCAACTAATCAACAGAGAAACTTAGAACTTTTGAAATTCGAATCTCTCTTTACTTTCTCTTGATATCTTTAATGTCAACTTTTCTTTAACCGGATTTCACAAAGATTCTTCCTCTACAAATTTTACCTCTGGTTACTAGCCAACAGTATTTTTAACAATCACCTAATAGTTATTTGATACAAGCTTCTTTAAAGCAAAACAAAACAAAAACAAAAACCCCAAATTGATCAATGATGGGAGGAGAGCTAAGGATACTAAATTCTCATTTTAGCAATAAAAAAAAAACAAAGATTACCAGAAACATCATATATTTGGTAACCCAGATCTTCAGGTCCTAAAATCACTCCATCAGCTGACTCTTCGATGTCTGCAGTATTTCTTGTGGGTTCACAAGCTGGAGGATACATTACTTCATATTCCTTGCACATATCTTCTGAAAGTTCTGCACTACCTGTTTTTAAGAAAGGATATTGAAATTATTTAAACCCAACTTCAGTAACCTTGAGTCACAGTCTCTAAAAAAATTTCAAAGAACTGTACTAGTTGGAGAAATGTCCCCATGGCTTAAGTTATTTCTGAAGGGAGACAAGTTTTGACAGTCATGGATAAGCTAGCATTTTATGTATTTGACTGCTGGTGTAACTCCTTTGCTGACTTTCCTGGAAACATTATACACTGTGATAGGTTATCACTTTTCATGATTTCTACTCTGCAGATGAAGGAAATAAGCACTCCAGGTTAACTGCCCAAGGTCAGTGAGTTAACACAACTGATGACAGACCCCAGCAAATCTTCTAAGAAATTATAAATGATATACTATAAATGGGCTAGATGCTGACTCAAAAATACACATACGACAGGCAGTGGTGGTGTACGCCTTTAATCCTAGCTCGGGAGGCAGAGCCAGGCAGATCTCTGTGAGTTCGAGGCCAGACTGGTCTACAGAGCGAGATCCAGGACAGGCACCAAAACACAGAGAAACCCTGTCTCGAAGAAAACACACACACACACACACACACAGTACTTGAAATTAGTAACTATTCATGTAATGTATAAAAAAAGAATCATAGACAAACTATAATGCTAAGCATTCACATATACATTTCATCAAATCTTTGTTTGAATCTGAAAAGTGCCCCCAAGTGTTTGAAATCAAATGGCCCCGGTGTACAATGTTTAGGTGAGAGTCTGGCTAGTAAACTATGACTCATTCCATCAATCTATCAATCTGCTCAGGAGCTCCAAACCCTAGGAGCCCTTTGGAAATGATGGCACCTTAAGAGGTGGGACCAAATTGAAGGGAAGAACTTTAAGTGGCCATGTCCCAAACTCGCTCTTTCCTCTCATGTTCTTTGAGGGTCTCATGACATTAGCAATTCTGTTCCACCAGGAGACCCCCCAGTCATGATATTCTGCCACCCCAAATGCCCAAAGTGATGGGACCAAGTTACTATGAACTGAAACCTCATGAGCCAAAGTAAATCTTAGTTCCTTAAAAGTTGACTTTTCTTACATATTTTGTTCAGCAACAAAATGTTAACCAACACATCAAATAATCAAAGTCTATCTCAAACCTATTTGAGCTGATTTGACCATACAATTAACCAAAATGTAATTTTTTCAATAAATACTTACCCTCAGGATGAGACCCAGATGTGGCTGCAGTTTCATGCCAAGAGCTTTCAGTTACAGGAGTGCCATCAGGATTTCCAGAAGGAAGTTCTTGCCATACTTTGGCATTAGGATTTAAACCAGTGCCTTTAGATGTTACCTGCTAAACAATCAAAAGATCTGTGTAAATTTAGATCAAGGGCTTTTCTATTACTTACCATTTGAAAGAAACACACACACACACACACACACACACATACTCTCTCTCTCTCTCTCTCTCTCTCTCTCTCTCTCTCTCTCTCTCTCTCTCTGTCTACTTCCTAAGTGTCAGGATTACAAGTATGTACCACCATACTTGTTACATGGTGTGGGGCTTCCTACATGCCAGGCAAACACTCTACATCCCAGACCTCGAAGCATTCAAAAGCAGAAAGACCCACGTATTTACATACTTAATCCTCCTTTCCCCCTTCAAGTCTATCCTCATCCCTGAAGACAGCAGACAATAAGAACACATTCTCAATGGAGCTTAATAATTACTATTTAAACATAAAACAACTGATTCTCTAGACTGTATCTGAATTCAAAACTCACACTCAAATCTAGGATCATGAATAGTCCTGGGAAATTTTCTGAATTGAACCTTAATCATAAATGAAGTAAGAATTTTTATTTTATTGACAAGGTCTCACTATATAGCCTTGGCTGGCCTGGAGCTCACTATGTAGACCAAGTCAACACTGGAACTCAAAAAGATCTGCCTGCTTCTGCCCTGAGGGATGAGATTAAAATTAAGCACTACCACACCTAGCAGAATTGCTTATTTAAAAAAAAAAAAAAAAAATCTGGGGCCGGGCGGTGGTGGCGCACGCCTTTAATTCCAGCACTCAGGAGGCAGAGCCAGGCGGATCTCTGTGAGTTCGAGGCCAGCCTGGGCTACCAAGTGAGTTCCAGGAGAGGCGCAAAGCTACACAGAGAAACCCTGTCTCGAAAAACCAAAAAAAAAAAAAAAATCTGGGCATGGAGGTTTACCTGTAATAACAGCATTAGAAGATGGAAGCGGAGCACCAAAAAAAGCACAAGAAAAGCTTTACCTACAGAGCAAGCTTGAGGCCATCTCGAACTAAATGAGATCTTGTCTCAAAACATAAAAGGAATCAGGCATGGTACAAGCCTTTATTCCCAGTACTGGGGATTTTTTTTTTCCTTTGAGTTCCAGATCAGTTAGGGCTACATAGTAAAATAAAACTGTCTGTCTCATGCTCTCTCTCTCTCTCTTTAAATAATAAACAGGTAACTAATTAATCCTTGAGAGGCACTTAACAGTATAAAATTCCACATCCTTTTTTTTTTATAAAGCATATTGACTTTTAAAAAAATACTAATTAGCTTGGTGTGGTGGTATATGGATTTAGTGCCAGCATTTAGGAAGTAAAGGTAGATAGATCTCTGTGAGCTGGGGTTAGTCTGGTCTAGACAAGCAATTCCATGTCACCCAGGGTTGCTCAAACAACAAACCTATTTACTGTATGTATGTTTATGAGGGATATGCATGTCCCACGGTGTGTGAGGAAATCAGAGTACAACCTACAGGAACTGGTTCTTTTCTTACACCATACATGGGTTCTTGGGGATCAAACTTGTCAAGCTTGGTGATAAGTGCCTTCACTCACTGAGCCACCCCCAGCAGGCCTTCAAAGGTATACCACATACACACTAATTTATTCTACCAAAGTAACTTCAAGGTAAAGTTAAAGGCTATCAACTACAGGAAATTAACTTCTAAAAGAAAAAAAGACATCAGAAAACTCACAAAATACAGATTACAGAATAACATAAAATGTCAACAAAAAGAAAAAAAGCACTAGAAAAATAAAAACCAAGGTGCACACACACAGGGCCAGGCAAGACATGTATGGCTCAACAGGTAAAGGGACTTGCTGCCAACCCCATGTTCAATTCTAGACTCACACTGTACAAGAGAACTCACAATGTTGTCCTCTCACCTCCATCCACGCACCGCGGCATGCACTCATCCCTCTATACACAAAAATTAATACACACGGGGCTGGCAAGATGGCCAAGTGAGTAAAGGTACTCGGCACCCAATGATGATCTGTGCTCTATCCCCAAGGCCCACATGATGTGGAAAACACTGTACTGCAAGTTGTCCTCTGACCTTATGGCATGTGTGTAGCAATCCCCCAAATAAATAAATATTTTAAAAAGAGCAGGGACTACAGAGACGACCCAAGTTTGGTTCCCAATATTCATCAGGCAGCTCATAACTACCTGTAACTCCAGTCTCTTCTAGCCTTTCCTGGCACCTATACACACGTGGCACACATGTTCACATACAGTATTCTCTCTCTCTCTCTCTCTCTCTCTCTCTCTCTCTCTCTCTCTCTCACACACACACACACACACACACACACACACACACACACACACACACACACACACGAATAAAAAGAAAAAAGAGCCGGGCGGTGGTGGCGCACGCCTTTAATCCCAGCACTCAGGAGGCAGAGCCAGGAGAATCTCTGTGAGTTCGAGGCCAGCCTGGTCTTCAAAGCGAGTTCCAGGAAAGGCGCAAAGCTACACAGAGAAACCCTGTCTCAAAAAAATCAAAAAAAAAAAAAAAAAAAGAAAAAAGATTCTCATGTAAGGCAAGCACGTTATTTTATGCTCTCTCTCTCTCAAATTCAGTCAACTGTCTTTTTTTAAAGCTTTATTTCCTGGTTGCTTAATTGGTGTCAATGTTATGGTGGGGATGTAATTACTGTTTCAGTATGGAATCTTTTTGTTGCGGTTTTAAGACAGGGTTTCTCTGTGTAGTCCTCCTGGCTGTCTTGGATCTCACTCTGTAGACCAGGCAGCCCAGCTAAGTATGGAATCTTTTTAACTTCTTGTACTGAGCCCTGAAATGTAGTATGTCTTTCATCGATTCTACACAATTCTCAGAAATACCTCTTCAAATACTGCCCCTCTGCCACAACTGCTTTATTACTTCCTTCTGGAACTCCAATACAATATACATACACCTTCTCATCCCTGCTCCATCTATTCCATGCACCAACCCATTTTAATTTCTGTCCTTCTAATTGTAAAATTCTTCCTCCAACCCTCAGAAAAAGCCTCACTACTTAGTCCTGACTGGCCTAAAACTTCAAAAACCTGTATATATCTGTTTTCTGAATTCTGAAATTACAGGCATGTACCACCATGCCAGGCTTTGCATTCTAAGCAATTTCTTGGTATCTTCTTTCAGTTCAGCAATTGTTTGTTCTAAGATGCTGCCCAACTTATCCAGTAAGTTTTATCCAGCCCATTTTGACATTTTATTTGTGGGGAAAAAAATTATGCTTAAATGGGCTCTTATAGAAAAAAGCTATTTTCCTTTGCCAGGTGCCTACCTAGAAAGGCTACTGTCTGAAATCGCCTTAAATTCTCATTCTCTCATTCTCTCTCTCTCTCTCCCTCTCGTCTTTGATAGTCTGGCCTTCATCTTGCTATGTAGCTGAGAACGGCTTTGAATTCCATGACCCATGCTCAGCTACTTAATTTATGGTTTGGGGAAACAATAGGGTATGGATTTTAGCCATACTCCATGGGGGTAAGGAGAGACTAGGATTAGAATTATTAAAGACCTCTCCCATACTAATCAAGGCTAAAAACTGGCAGTTTTCCTTTTCTCTAAGAATTATCACTTGTTTGATTCTAGTTTACTTTGTATTCTGGTTCTGAGCACAGATCACTGGGCCACCACCAATGATCAACAGATATCAAGTAAGGGTAGCCCAAGTTTTATCAGGTTCTCCAGATAAGTACTTTTCTGACTATTTATCTTTAGAGTTCAGCTACTTTCTTAGTGACTTAACACTCTTTAGTATCACAACACGGAGAAGCAGAAAACAGACTGCTCTAAAGTGGCTGAGTTCATGTGGTGACACTGTTTTACAACCAGCTCTTGACAGAAATACGCATTCACAAGAGACCAGAGCCACTTGTTCAAGACAGCACTACTCATTCATTGATGAAGGAGGAGCCCGATGACTTAATTATCTTATATCAGATCCTACATCATAAACATCCCATAACCTCCACATTGTCCCACCAGGGATATCATGAATCTACTGCATTAACTTTGAGAATAAACCATAGCATCAAAATATCCAGTTCAAAATTTTCCCAGCAGAGTACAATATATCTTGCTTTAAAACGAAAGAGTAATTCTAACAACTGAGAAGCAACTATGGGATAATAGAAAACACACACACACACACACATTCTGTTGTTCAATAATTACGTAATTAACCATTTTGATATCACTAATATCATAAAAAGTGCCTTATTAAAGGCATTTTTTAATCAAAAGTCATCATGGGGGTTGGAGAGACAACTCAGGTTAAGAGCACTGACTTCTTCCAGAGGACCCAGGTTTAATTCCCAGTACCCACATGGCAGCTAACAACTGTTTGTACTACTCCAGTTCCAGAGGACCAATGCCCTCTTTTGGCCTTTGTCTGCACCAGGCACAGACATATATGCAGGTTAAATACCCATACACAAGCAATAAAATTAAAAAAAAGTTTTTAAAAAGTCATTGTTTATATGTGTCTTGGGTACCTTACTATGTTTTGGTCACAGTTTCCTTCTTCTGCCTTGTTAACTGTACTTCATTTTATCAGAAACATAATAGTTTACGAAGTATACATTCTTGATATTTAGGCAATGAGTCTCAAAAGAAGTCAGACAAAGCCAGGCAGTGGTGGCGTTTGCCTTTAATCCCAGCATTCAGAAGGCAGAGGCAGGTGGATCTCTCTGAGTTCCAAGCCAGCCAGAACTATACAGAGAAATTCTGTCATGGGGGTTGGAGAGTGGGGAGTAGGAGTAGGGTGGAGGAGGCAGACCAAGTAAAATATTGTGTTATTTCTGCTATTCACATTAAATCAGTAAGACTCTTAACAGCAGTGACCCCATGTAAAAAAAAAAAAAAAAACCCAAAAGCTTAAATGTCTGAGACTGAATGGTTAATATTGTATAATATTTCTACAGCTGGTCTGTCTTAGGTTTGGTCTCACTTTTCAGCTCAAATACCCATGGTTAAAAGTACTTTAAAAACATGAGATGAAAAATTTCATAATTGAAGTTTTATATTAT